ATTATAGCTTTATAATTACTAGTTAGTATAAAGTATAGAAGATATTTTAGCTAAGAATTACTTTATATATTTCTTTACTTAAAGCTTATGAAAGCTTTACTAGCTTAACTATATTAGTCTAGTTTATACCTTCTGCTAGTACTATTTTATTCTTAAACTAAATAAAGAAGTCTATAAATATTTTATTTAAGTATTACTATATTTAGTTTAATTTAGTAAGAGCTATTTCTTATTAATAAAGGTTAGAGTATATAGTAGCTAAGTAGTTAAGAAATATAGTTAAGTTATAGTTTATAAATACTCTAACTTTATAGTAGAGAGCAACCTATTTCTAGACCTTTATAGAGAGGTTCTAGAAGACTAGATTCTACTAGTTATAGGCACTACTAATAAATGCCTTATTAGCCTTTAATTTATGTAATATAAAGCTTTACTATATAGCAAATATAGACTTATCTCCCTTAAAGAGAAGCTCTATTTTAATTAGCTTCTGTTTTAGCTTATATAGCAGCATTAGTTATATACTTAAATAAAGAGAGTGTAAGGAATTATTTAGTATAATAAGTGCTAATCTAGAGAATATAATATACTACTATATTAGTTTGTAAATTAGTTATGCCTAGTTATTAATAGTTTCCTAGAGAGCAGCTATCTTAGCCTAAGTGCTTAGTAGTATTATATTGCTAGCTAATAGTAAGTTACTCTCTATAAAGTTTAAAAAGTATTTATTTATTATAGTAAAATAAAGTTTATAGTATATTAAGAACTAGCCTTATAGGCTACTATATATAAGTATTACTAGTATTAACTATAAACTTAAGGAGAGAAAAGAGAGAAAGAAGAAGCTCTCTATCCCCTCTTTTCTGCTTATTATATATATATAAGTTTAATATGCATCTAAAGCGTATCTAACAAGGCACTAACACAGTGCCTTATACCCACTTAAGCCTACAGCTCGAGTCTATTACATAATTAAGCAATATAAGCTTATTTAAGCTTATAAAGTAGAAATATAAAATCTATAATATTATATAAGCTATTTTACTAAGCAATATAGTCTCCCTTATATATATTATATTTTATTAAAGAAAAATATTACTAAGCTGCTTGTAATAGACTAGCCCTATGGGCAATAGCGGGTGCCAGCCGCAGTCATCCCAGTAGTTTGCCGGACCCCCTTGACTGTTGAGTCAAAAGAGTACGTATTAAACAAGCTGCCCTAGCTTGCTCAATCTGGCACTATATAGGTCCTGCACGGGCTTGTCCCTCTATCGCGCATTGCAGTGCAGTGCATCTATTGCTGCGCTTCTATTAAGGTCGAGCATAGCTCAGACTATAACATAGCCCCCTTCTGTGCCTCCTATACCTCGCACCCCCTAAGGGCAGGGTGGCGGCAGTCGCCCTTGTGAGCCCAGGTTGAGTATCCCTTGCACTCTCTTCTTGTGCGGCTCGAACCTGCGACCCTAGGAAGCTTGTTTAAATGTAATAGACTAGCTCTATGGGCAATAGCGGGTGCCAGCCGCAGTCATCCCGGTGGTTTGCCGGACCCCCTTAACTGTTAAGTCAAAAGAGTACGTATTAAACAAGCTGCCCTAGCTTGCTCAATCTGGCACTATATAGGTCCTGCACGGGCTTGTCCCTCTATCGCGCATTGCAGTGCAGTGCATCTATTGCTGCGCTTCTATTAAGGTTGAGCATAGCTCAGACTATAACACTGCTGCAGAAAAATAAAATTAATTGCTGCTAGTAGCTATAAAAGCTCTTAGTAAATGCCTGCTTAAGTTCCCTTCTTATTTTTATAGAAATTATAGCTAACCTTAATATCTAGAGTCTTAATAACTTATATCTTTAAATTTGCAACTTAGCGCTTATCTTAAACTACTAGTATAAAGCAGCAATAAATAGAAAAAATAGTTAATACTAATTTTTATATAAAAATAGCAGTTAATAGTTATTTAAAAGACTTTAATTTAGCTAATAAAGCGCTTAAAGACCTTCTATACTTAGTATTTATAGAGATTATATATAAGTAGAGATTAAAACTGCTGTAAGAAATTAACGCTTCTAGCAGTAGCTGCTAGCATTATTATAATAATTAAATTGCAATATAAATAATAGAGAAAGAAGACTAATTAAAAGATAGAGCTCTCTTAAAATTAAGGAATTTATTTCTTTAATGCTATTACTACTATTACAGCTAATAGATATAACTAGATAAGTAATTAAGCAGCTAGAATAACTAGAAAATCTAGCTTAATTGTAAATACATTAAGTAAAAACACTAGAAATTGCATTTTTAAGCAATTTAAAGCAGCACTATTAAGAAATTTATATAAATTACATAAGCACCTTTTTAATTAATTAAGGGCATTTTGCTGCTATATATTTATACCTAGAATGTACTATGGCGCATAGCAGCAGGGCCGCTAGACCAAAATCGGGGCGTGGTGGGGTATTGAGCGCCCCGAGCAAAAATGGTGAGCGCCCCGAGCAATAGACGGCACAGCGGCCGCTCTTTCCAGTTCCAGCCCCACCCGCCACACCCGACCCGCCAGACATCACGTAAAGCACCCTCCCAAGTACTTACGTAGGCACCCTGGGTTAGGTAGCCTGGCAGGTACATGGCGCCTTGGGGGCTCGTGAGTCGTCTCGAATCACCTTGCATTTGCTTCTCTCGCGTCAAGATTCACGAGCTTGCGCCGAGCTTTCGACTTGTCCATACCTTTTACCTTGCGTGCCTCCGTGCCTCTCCCGAAGCGGCTTGTCGACCAGATCAGCGCCACTGCACGATGCCTTCCCGCTATGCCGTTGTGTCCCTGCCCCTCGGCGTCTTCGACTCCAGCAACAAAGCAAACGCCATCTCGTCCCTCGCGACCTCCATCTCACAGGACAATGGCACTGTCAGTCCGTTCAACATCCCCGACTTTAAGATTGGCACACTTGATGCCCTAGTTCAGCAAGCCGACGACCTAGCCAAGCTCGAAACGACATGTCACGCCGTCGTCACCAAGGTCGGCGAGTCGCTCCGATCTGTTCTAGACAATGATGAGGAGCGCCTGGCCTCTTATAAAGTGGTGAATGACAGTCAGTCAAGTCCATTCGATGGAGCAGCCGTACGGCTGGAACATCTGCCGTCAAGTTTCCTTGGAGGCTGACAGCACTTCGTTTCAATAGAGCCCACGGAGCAGTACCTCCGTACCTTCAGTTGGAACAAGATTCGATATCGAAGCGACAAGCCTTTGAGTGAGCTCATAGACATCCTTCAGAAGGTATTTCTATGCATCTTATCGATCAACAAGATTCGTTGACTGAAATTATTTGGCTCCTGTAGGAACTGGTCACGGTGGACAATGACGTCAAAACCAAATTCAGCCAATACAATACTGTCAAGTCAAACCTCGCTACATTGCAGCGACGCCAGACGTGAGAGATACCCATGAGTGTTTACATCTCACAGACCGTCGAGGCATAGTATTCTGACTGAATTTCGGGTTTGCAGAGGAAATCTCGCAACCAAGTCATTGACTCCCATCGTTAGCCCCAAGCTCCTCGTTCAAGATTCCGAATACATTGAAACGCATCTTGTCGCCGTGCCAACCAACTCTAAAAAGGAATTCATCAAAACCTACGAGACTCTTTGTCCCATGGTTGTGCCCCGATCCTCCGTGGAGGTCGACCATGACGACGAGTTCACGCTATTCGCGGTAGCCACTTTCAAGAAATATAGCGCAGAATTTATTCACAAATGTCGAGAGCAAAAGTGGACCCCTCGTCAATATACCTATGTGGAAGGTGGACGAGAGGAGGAGCAGCGCGAGTTAGACCGCGTGACTAACGAGGAGCGCAAAGTATGCGGCGAGGCTCTCCGCATTGGCCGAACAGGATGGAGCGAGAGTGTCATGATCTGGGTTCACGTCCTGACATTGAGGGTCTTTGTTGAGGCCGTACTGAGGTACGGTTTACCGCTCGACTACGTGACTGCTCTGGTGAAGGTGCGGTATCCCCTTGGAAGTTTCAGGGCCCCAGACGACATATTTTCGCAGAGATGTTGGAGCTGACCGACTCCCTACAGACGACTCCCAAGCTGGCGCCCAAGGTCAAGGCAGCGCTTGACTCCAAGTATTCATACCTGGGAGGCAATGCCTTTGGTCGCGACAAGCGTGGCAGAGTCACCAAAGACGACGCGGCCATGTCCTCAGAACTGGCGGCGGCGGGACTTGGAACCGGTGAAGGACACGAGTACACAGCCTACGTTTACTACGAGTTGGAGTTTCCGTGAGACGACGCGTCCAGTTCTTTTTTTCAAAGGATTTTGGCGGCGAAGGTGTAGCCATAGAGGAAGACGAGTGGTTCATCCACGTGGATTCATCGGGGCTCCTATTCCCTATTTCCTAGCTATCTTCATGATCCGTGGAGCACGCTTGGCGCATGACTGGCGAAAACAAGAAGGAGAGGAAGGCAGGGAAGGAAAAGAGACTAAAAACGACCAATAGTGACGCCGAAAATATGACACCGGGCACCGGTCTATCCATGTCATTCCTGTGTTAGTTTTGCCGCAGTTGATCTGTTGTCTAAATCCCCACGCACGCTTTATGCCGCAAAACGAGCACCTAGTTCAACTTGAGGTAGCCCTTGTCGACGAGCCAGTCGACGATTTGGGCGACACACTCCTCGACGGAGTTTTGGTGTGTCTTGATGGTGATTTCGGGATCAGTGGGCTCCTCGTAGGGGGCCGAGATGCCAGTGAAGTCCTTGATCTCGCCGGCGCGAGCCTTCTTGTACAAGCCCTTGGGGTCGCGCTGCTCAGCGACGTCGAGGGGGACGTCGACAAAGACCTCGACAAAAGGGATGGGCTCGTCCCGGGGGTCCTGCGAGGCGGCGTGCAGCTGGCGGGCGACGTCGCGGTCTGCTCGGTAGGGCGAGATGAAGGACGTGATGGCCACGGTGGACGAGTCGGCAAAGAGCCTGGCGACCTGGGGGGGTTTTGTCGAGTCGTCAGCGGGCAACGGGCAACGGGCAACGGGCACGGCGCGGCACGACACGGCACGGCTCACCTCTGCGACGCGGCGGATGTTCTCGTTGCGGTCCCTCTCGGAGAAGCCCAGGTCCTTGTTCAGGCCGAAGCGGACGTTGTCGCCGTCGAGGCGGTAGGCGGCGCGGCCGAGGTGCAGGAGGTGCTGCTCGAGGGCGGTGGCGACGGTGGACTTGCCCGAGGCCGAGAGGCCGGTGAGCCAGATGGTGAGGCCGCGCTGGCCGCGGAGCTGGTTGCGCTCCTTGCGCGAGAGCGACGGGTGCCAGGTGATGTTGCTGGTGGCGGCGGCGGCGGCGTCGACGTTGACGGCTTGGTTAGCGTGCGCTCTGCCATGGCTGCTGCGCGGTGGGTTGCAGGTTGCACGGGTACGTACGTGGCCATGCTGCGGTTGACGTGTGATGTGTGCCTGGGAAGAGGTCGGATGGGGGACTGCGATGGCGGGACAGGACAGGACGGGACGACGTCGAGAAGAATCGGACCGACGAATGGACGAGCGAGGATGCGCCGCGGCGGCGACGTCGGAGAGGAAAGGCGTCTCCGGGGTCTCCGGGAGGGGGAGGGGCCCACTTGGCTCGGTCTGGCATGATGGGATGGCCGTGGCCCCGGCCCTCGAAAATATCATCAACCCGTGAAACCCAAGCGACTGGGGCGACGGACGTGTTGTCCCGTCACGCTGCTGACGGCTCGTCTCCTTCATTTTGTTTCCATGTACAGGCACGTGGCCTGGCAGATCGTGTCGCCCATCCGCGTCACTACCTATTCGGGCGTTGGCGATGCTTCCTCCCTCCACATCTGACGCTGTTCGCTCGGTCCGACATATTCTTGTCAAGTCTATTGTCCGCAATGTGTACATTTTCTAAAACGGTCACAGACACCGTCGTGCCGTGTATGACGCCGCCGTGCATGCAAGTCGAATGCGATCCTTGAACCAAACCAGTCTATGAGCCAACCCGCCTCCCTGTCCGTCCGACTCGCCCAAGCCACCGTTCAAGTAATCCTCGGCATCATCTATGACGGCGAGTTAGCAATGCGCAGCCTGTTCGGGATCGCGTCGCACGCCGGGCCAGGTTCCACGTACCGCTGCATACTTGGGAGAGACAAACAAGGCCGTCGCGTCGGCGTACACCGTGGGCTCCTCTCCCGGCGCCGGGACGGATTCGACGTGCCCCCTGACCCAGGCCTTGCGGCCCTCCACCTTTGTGGTCTCGGCTCTCAGCACCAGGTAGCTGCCTGCGGGCGTGGGCTTGCGGTAGTTGATGTCGAGATTGGCAGTCACTCCGATGTTGTGCGGCAGGGCGGCGAAGCAGCACCGCGCGAGGCCCTCGTCGAGCATCGTGGCCAGAAACCCGCCGTGGACGATGCCCGGGTGGCCGCACAGGTCTTCCCCGACGTAGACGACCGAGACGAGCGACTTGCCGCCCTTCTCGACCCAGGCATACGCCGGCACGGGGACCTTGCCGGGGCCGGTCAGTGCGCTCCCCGTGAGGCTTCGTGCTCGATACTGGCCGGGCATCTTCAGGTGCGGTCGCGACTCGACCATCTCCGGGCGCCGACGCTGCTCCGCCACCAGGGGGAGCTTGTTGATTGTGTCTTCGATTCGTCGCGCCTCGGCATCGGCCTCTTCGGGCGTGAATCGCTTCAGGCTCTCTTCGTCCGAGTAGAATCCCAGCCCCTGCCTCTTGAGGGTGTGCCATGAGCCGTAGGCTCCGATGGTGCTGAATGCGAGCCCGAATATGAAGTAGAAGAGGCCTCGTCGCAGTGCCCACCCGGCTGCACCTCTCGAGTCGCCTTGACTGTTGGTCGCAGCGGTGCCCGGGTGTTGCCATCGCCGAGCCTGCTTACTTGGCGGCTGCAACGGCGGTGACCACGCTGCCTTGTCGAGTCTCCAAGTCGTGCAGGTCCGTTGGGCCAGACGGCGAGCAATGGGTTGGCCGAGCATGTTGGCCTTGCGGTGTCCTCCAGCGAACAACCAAGCTGATGTCGCAAGCAAGACCAACAACAGGTTTTGGGGATCCGTGTCAGGAGTGATTCGATGATTAAGAAAAATCTGGTCCTCGGCATCCCCGACCTCGCCTTGGTTATCCGAGGTTCGGGGGGGTCCGCTTTTCTCATCCAGGAACCGTCAGCCTCTTTTTGTCAGCTACCACGATGCCACCTCCGTCAATGGCTGAGTCTGTTACGAATTTACAACGGCTTCCCCTCGGCCACCTTGCACCTCATTTGCTCTGCTTCCGATCCGCCGCTCCGAGTCGGTCAGCGAGTGAAATGGGAGGGCATGACCACACGTGGATCGGTTGCTGCTTGTCGTCACAGAAGGCCGCATGCGCAAAAGGATGCTTCTACCAAGTCAAATTTTGGCAGCGCATTCGAGTGACTCTATGCGCTGTGCAAAATGAATGGACTGGATATCTACAGGCAGTATTCCATTCCATTCCACCCTCTATAACAGTCCGTCTTCCTCTGCAGCCAACAGCTCGGCGTAGTCATCGAGCGATGCAAACATTGGAAGGTCCTTGAGGGCCTTTCTTCTCGACTTTTTCTTCTTCGTTTCTTCGGATTTGCCATCGACCTCGGCATCGTTCTCGTCTCCAGCGGCCACCAAGCCATCGAAATCGTTTTCGCCCTCGTCGCCCAATGCTGCACCCTCATCATTTTCATCATCTTCATCCTCATCCTCATCCTCAACGTCAACATCGCTCTCCAGAGAAAACGCAGGCGATGAGCCATCTTCAGACCCCATGTCCAAGTCATCCATATCATCAAAGCCCTCTTCATCGGCGTCGTCCTCAATGTCAGGTTGCGTGGACACCAAAGCCCTCCAAATTTCGTCCTCGTTGTTGTCCTCGCCCTGCTTTTGATTTCCTTCCTTGGCTGTGAGCCTGGGCTCTTTGGCGACGTGCTGGAAGTACTCATGGAAGAAGATATCGTCTGCTGCAACATCTTCAGCCTTCTTCTTCCAGAATGCTGCAGAATTGACTGGCGCGGATGTGGCACCAACACCCCTGCTTCCCAGCCAAATGTCGCCCAAATCCTTGGTTGCTCGGAGAGGCTGCATAATGGATACCCCGCGAGCAGAGTCAGTAGACTTGGGATTACGGTACACAAACTTATCCAAAAATCGTATCAATGTATGGCTCTCCATATCTGGCTTTTGCACCTTCTTGGACTTGTCAAGCAGCGCTGCTGCAAAAACGCTCACAGAAGGGTGGAAGTGTGTTAGAAAGGGAATCTAGAGCAAGTTAGCATAACGGCTAAATGACTTGTCGTTGTGATTTGAGTAACATGCCATTTCCCACAGGCAACTCCTTTGTGCATTGCTATGTTCCGGGTCGCGCTTTCGTCCATCATACCCAGGAAGTTCTGCCGATGTCTCGTCGTCAAAAATTGAAGCCTCGGGTTCCTCAATGAGCGTTGATAAATCAGGGAAAGTCTGTCGTAGATGCGCAATGACGTAGAGCAATCCACAAACAAAGGCTGGTCGATGAAGATTAGAAACTTGGAGCATCCGCTTAGCAAACGCTTTAACCCTTCGAACATCAACATCGCTCTTCAAGGCGCGTAGTAGCAAGTTCAGATATAATGTTTGCTTGGATGAAGCGACTAGACGAGGATCTAGTAATGACTCATACAAAGTTCGGTAGAATCGGTCAGTTGCCAAGTTGCGAGAGGCTGATAGGTGTTGAATAAGCAGCAATGCCTGAATGCTGGTATTGAAATTGGACGAATGTGCAATCCTGAACAATGTATCCAGATGTTTCTCCATACTAGTTGTCAAGTTAGCCAATCTTTGTCGTGGGCATCAAGGTAGGAACAAGTCTGGCAGATATGAACTAACATGGCATCGTTGGTACCAACAAATGGAGCCGCACGATTTATCCCCGTCAACAGTGCAGAAACCAATTTGTCCGATGCTTCAGTTTCTGGCACCGAGAGATTTGCTGTTTTCGATTTTTGACGGGGTCGCCTATCTGGCTTGCTGTTGGCCTTGCTGTTACCTTTGCCTGCGACTTTGACATGCGGCTTGCCATCCTCAGTTCCGCTGTCTAATGGTATCCCAATGTGTCCAGTTTTCAACATCATGACGAAAAGATCAAAGTAAATTCGCACAAGAGTCTCTGCCACTGTCGGCTCCTTGCTGCTAAGAATTGTCTGATTCAAAGTGTTGATGGCGCAATATTTCGATCGATGATCCTGGGAGGGATGAAGCAGAATGTCCTGCTCAATCGTTCGAATAATAATTGGCTTCATTCCGGGGTGTGAGACCTGTAGTTGCAGAAGCAGATACGATGCCCGTGATGATATCTTGCGGTCTCGATCACCAAGTTTATTAACAAGAAGCGTGAGTAAATTTGCTTCCTGCTCTGGTTTCTCTTTGAGGAGTCCGTACACGAAATCCACTGCCTTCATTCGGGAATATTCAATTTCGTCATAGCACCAGGTCTCTAGCAACTGGATAATCTTGAAATACGTCTCCTTGAGCCAGTCTTCGTACAGCCATGATATGAGATGCTCCTCAGTGATCTTTCCGGGCAAAGGTTGGCTAGGGACCCATGACTTGAGAGATTCCCTCTGGAGCGTTCCAAGCAAACCGGGCTGGCCATGAAAGGGGCGCAGTCTTCTGTCGGAGGGAAGAAGGGTTCCTGGCCCGAGTAAATCCACGAGTGCGCCGATCGCCCCGATGGCCTGGGCACGGCTTTTCTTCGAGGCAAGATTCATCAGAGCATCGAAGGCTCGGATGTTATGGACTGGCGACTCTTGCACTGCCAACGTCAAGGCCGAGACCTTATCCGTCAATGTACCCGAGGACATGATTGTAGACAAGAACTTATGAGAGGAAGAAGCAAACACGCTGGTCCTATACTTGTTACAATCGCTCTCTAGAAGTGTTTTTGCATGCATTTTGAGAGCCTCAACGGTTCCGGCAAACGGACCCAGTTGGTCGGCAGTCGCCTTCGGCAGCTTTGCAAGTGTGCAGGCGTGCCAATTAGCCGTTGGCTCGAAGATCTAGCGTTTACAGTTAGGATTTTTCAAATGCGCAGGTTCAATAAAGAGGCCTGCCTACCATGTCTCCAGGTTTTCTTATTCGTTTCAATCCCTCAGTTTCCGTGTCGTCTTCAGGTTCCTGGTCTTGCACGCCGCTTTCCCCGCGTGCACCAGCTTCTACTTGGTCGTCGTCGTCGTCGTCGTCGTCGTCGGCCTCATCTGGCTGCTCATCGGCTGCGCTGCCCACTTCAGGGTCAATCTCTGCAAATCCTAATTGCTTGGATAGTGCGAGAAGTTCATCCTTCAAATCCTTATCAATAGCTCCCTCAGGCTCCTTCGCATATGTCTCGTCGTCAGAGTCGACGCCATTGATGAGCTCTAAATCCTTCTCATCACCTCCCAAGGCTCTTATCTCTGCCAACAGAGTCTCCTCATCATCCAAAGTCTGGTCTTTCGACGGCCGGCTGCCCTCAAAATTTCGCTGCCTCTTCTGTTGCTCTTTGACTCCAGCATTAGTGGGGGGATATTTGCGCTTGTTGGTGACAGGGTTCAGGTTTTGGTCGATTTTGGAGGTAAGCTGGGCAAGAGCATCTTCGTCGAAACTTTGCCTATAGTTTTTGCCGCGAGGGCTCTTGCTCTTCTTCTGTGGTTTAGGCATTGAGCAGGCGTTTGTGTTGTTAATCTAGCTGTTCGGTCTCGTTGGAGGAGCAGGAACGTACTTGGAACTTTTTTTCCATGGTCATAAATTGGTATCTTATCGGACATGCCCCACTTAAAAGTTGGCGGAGAGACAAGCTGCTTGTCAAGCCGTCTGTTCGATGGACGACGAGAAATTTTTTAAATAATAGTATTGATAGAAAAGTGAAAACTAAATGTAAAAAAAATTAAAGGAAAACTGCTAGATTTCAAGATGGAAGAATCGTATCAAATAATGCTGAACAGGGCAGATATATCAATGATGTCGGTTGGATTCGTGGATACAAAGCGCCAAAAGCTGAGTTGGACCCTGGCAGTGAGCAGCAGACGTACATGCAAAGCCAATGCCCCACCAACCGCTCACACCAGTCTCCTTTGTGTTCCCGACTCGTCGCTGGTGAGCCTCATCTTCAACACATCCTCCGCCGCCGCAGTCTGTCTGAATTGCGCTTGCTGGCGATGGAATCTCGCGGCACGAGATAGAACCATGCTGTCTCATCAAACAGCACGGCTGGAACGATTGATCGTGCCGCCGTTCGTATTTGTGTCCCGGCCAAGCCTACTCCGATATCGCGGCACGCCAAAGGATTGTCGTGCAAGGTCGACTCTTTCCAAGATATGGGTTCCCACAGGCGGCGTTTCAGCTATCGATGGAGAGAGTAAGAATGTCCGGCCCCCAGCCTCAGTTCGTGACTGACAATCAGAGAAGCTGGGCATGGAAAACTCATCCGAGCAGGCTTTCTTCGCCAGGTGGGTTCCCCTTCCGGGACGCCGTATTAGCCTAGCCCATATTGACTACGTTGTTAGACTCAGTCAGGTATTTTCCAACTTCTCCCGTTAGGGTTACGCGTCCAGAACAAGATTGAGAGGCTTTTGGACAAACACATGGAGTCCATTGGTTCGTCCCTCCCCCGCCGCTATGGGTGCGCGGCACTGCGGCACTAACCCAGTTGCTGCAGGGGCATCACGACTCTCTCTGTCGACAATTACGTCAGAAGACTTATGGCGCCGGAGCGGCAGATTAGATCGTGTCTCTTCAGATGTGGGTGGACGAAATCTCATGTCAGCTGTGCGTCTATTGACAGGCTCAGCTCTTTCGTTTCACTGATCGAAAGCAAGTCCCCATCATGCTGTCGCCTACTCATGAGGAGGAGATCACAACACTGGTGGCTGGCTCTTTGAAGTCATACCAAGACTTTCCATTACGTCTATATCAGACTAGTCGGTGCACCTGAGAATACCGTTGAAAGAATAATTGACCAACCATCGGAACAGCCAGAAAGTACCGAGACGAGATGCGTCCCCGGCATGGACTACTACGGTCTCGGGAGTTCATCATGAATGATTTGTACACATTTGACGCATCATTCGAGTCAGCTATTGACACATACAGATGTGTCTCTAAAGCATATCGTGCCTTTTTTGCGGAGATGAAAATACCCATTTTGGTTGCAGAGGCAAGTTCGGGCGACATGGGCGGCGACTACAGCCACGAGTATCATCTGGCCCATCCCATGGGAGAAGACACTGTCATATCATGTGATTCTTGTGAATACACTGCTAATGATGAAGTTGCAACGGCATCATCATCCAAAAAGTCTCAAAAAACGTCTATACCACAAGCCATCACGCGCCAAGACATTCGAGTATGGCGTGGTATCACTAGAGACCGCACGACACTGATCAACGCCTGGTATCCCGTCAAGGACGAGAATAGTACCGGAGCGCAAATAAATACAAATGCCGTCAAACAAGTCATCCCAGAGCTAGATACAAGCATTAACGATGCCGTCCAATTTTGGAAGGATGCTGCCTCTACAAAGAAGAACGGCAAGTACACACAATCTCGAATTCTCAACGTTATTGACTTCAGGTTGAAACCTGTCTTTGGCCAAGTGAAGGAGAACTTGCCTTTGATTCCGGACTCTGTTCAAGACATCAAGCCTTTATCTCAGTCAGACGTGATTGACCTACCACAAGGGGAGCCGTTGAATCTGCTACGGCTGATGGAAGGGGATGATTGCCCCCGTTGTGAATCTGGCTCACTTCGGATTCACCGGGCGTTGGAGCTAGGCCACACATTTTACCTCGGTGCCCGCTACTCGACACCGTTCGAGCTGTCCGTTATTCTTCCGAATTCCAAGGACCCCGTACCTGTGGAAATGGGGTGCTACGGAATTGGTGTGTCTAGAATCTTTGGCGCCGTGGCCGAACACAAAGCAGACGAGCGAGGCCTCAATTGGCCGAGGGCCATCGCTCCATTTGAAATTGTCGTCATCCCAACATCAGGCGTGACCCCTGAAACATTGGGATTCTTCGACAAGCTTACCAGTCGCTCCAGTTCTGGGCCAGGATTCGACGCAGTTTTGGACGACCGCAAGGAGACATTCGGGTGGAAGATACAGGATGCCGACATGATTGGGTACCCTGTTGCCATTGTTCTCGGAAAGGCGTGGAGAGAAGGCGGAACATGCGAAGTGCAATGCAGGAGCTTGGCTTCCAAGGAGAACATTGCCGTTGAGGATGTGCCAGCACATTTGAATGGCTTACTCTCGCAGTTGTAAGATGGCGAACTCGGCATGAAGTGGGCGACACTCGACTCTTAAATGTGCTTAGATATATCACATGTGTACAATTTCCATACAAGTTGCAGACCTACCCGCGTGAATACATGTCAAGGAGATCTCCAGCAAGACGGGAGACGCGGATTCAATAAGAGGCTGCTTGATACGTGGGTTGACAACGGTTGGACGAACCCTCTGCGCCGCCAACTCGGCCGACCCCACCACAGACAGCTACCACCCACATCCATCACCTCGTGACAACTTCGCCTCGCATCCACGGGGCAACACACCTGCGCGAAAACAAACATGGCCGGGGAACGAGAATCCAGTATGTGAAGCAGCACCCTTCTCCTAGCTCCGACTACAAGACTGACAGACTTCGCAGTCAATCTCAACACCCTCGAGCCACAGCAGCTGGCGCAAGTCAAGAAGCAGCTCGACGAAGAACTCGAGCACCTGACCTCGTCCTACGCACAGCTCCACGGAGCCCAAAACAAATTCAAAGACTGCCTACGATGCGTCAATGCCCGATCTGTGGCAACCGACGGTGCGATTATCCGGATAAACTGGCCTACGATGGTCCCCGCAGGCTAACAATGTGGAAGCTTCGAACTCGGTTCTCGTCCCCTTGACCAACTCATTGTATGTCAAGGGCGAGCTGACCAATACAAACTCTGTTTTGGTTGACGTTGGAACCGGATTCTTGATCGAGAAGGTTGGTACAAGCAGAATTTGGAGAAGACCTCGCGCTAATCTACTCGGTCTAGAAGTTAAAGGCGGCGGAGCAATTTTACGACGACAAAGTGCAAGAGCTTGGTAGCAATTTGAAAGATCTGGAAGCAATTGTGCAGCGCAAACAGGCCAATGTTAGAGCGGTAGAAGAAGGTCCGTCATTTCGTGCTCTCTGTTCTGTCAGTCCAGTACATACCTCTGTTGACACCTCTCTTAATAGTTTTGCGGGAAAAGATTCTGGCTGCCCAAGGAGCCACCTCGTAAAATTCTCGAATTTTTGAGCGTGGTACGATATATTAAGAAAGAGTTTTGCATCGACGATTTGTCAAAACAGCAAACGGCCAATCCACATTATAATCGCCGCAGTATTTGTTGGAATTGGCCTCTCTTGGCTGTCTTTGAGCTACTCTGTTATGTCATCAACGTCTGACCCTTCCAGCGCAGATAATACCTCTAAAACATGGCAAATAAAACCTGCGAACTGGTCTTCTGCAGTCATTTCCGAGCCTGCCCAGATATTGCACTGGTGAAGGCCCCAGTCCTTCTTCGACTCGTGCTTTTTTTTGTAGTTGAGGCTGTCCTCCCAGTGACGACCAAGCATTTGGATTTCCGTCCACGAATGAAGAGCCTCATTCGTATTCACATCTCTCCATATATGATTCCTGCTTATCTCTATCACGAATGGCGTATCGCGAAAGGGTATCAAAGCTGACAATTTTGTACGAACCTCACCCAGCTTGCCAGTCCATTTCGCAGGACCCTTGACATTGATGTTCAAACATCTGTGATCGAGGTCTCGCGGGTCACAAGTCTCTGGTTTTTCGGTGCAGATCACAAGGTCTCTGAGCAAACGTTCGACATGCTCAGGTATGGGTTGAACTTGCAAGTTGCTGTCGACCTGGAGAGCCCAGTCATATTTTCTATTACGGCTAGTCAGCCTGTTTCCTGTTTATCTTAAATGTCCAAGTAAAAGTCTCCATATCGAATTTACCTGTCTGGAGCTACTGTGATCCACCTAAGAGGTGGCCACTCTTCTGATACCACCAAGCGGGAGTTGGTCAGGCTCGGCTGTCCGTTTTGCATATATGCTACATCAGCTGTGAGGATTTGGTCTTTGATCTTGATACGAATGCTGTCATTGTAAGTAACGCATTCTATGCGATGGTAGATGCTTGTTTCAGGGTCCAAGAGGTGTGAGATCAATTTTGAGGTCTGGTTGAAATCTGGCATTCTAGCTTCGTGTTAACAAACGACAGCAGCGTGTAGGAAATTTCAGAGATGGTCACCTCATATCTAGCTCAGCTCCACCTTTAGTTCCATATTGCAGAGCCATCTGTGTAAAATCGGAGTATGGCATGGTGTTTCCTACCCCTCTCTTCCGGGATCGAATGACAACTTGCCCAAAGGCTACATGCATACGAAGCGGCCGTTCAATGGTCCGAAGCGTGTTCATAGAAGACGAAAAATTCGAACCGAGCTGCTTTAGGACGTTGGCAGCCACCTCTGCGGTCCCGGTCAGCGTCCTTTGACGTTGTTGTACTCGAGGACGACAATCCAGATTGACGGTGATGAGACCGTCTGCACCAGCATTTATGGGTTTCTGGACCAAGAATCGAGTAGACACATTCTGTCTCGCCAGGCTCAAATCATGAAGAGCCCAGTTGACAGCTTTGAATCCCTCCTGTAGACACCACATTGTGCGGCTGTAAATATGCAGAACGTTATGCTTGTCCTGTTTGATCCAGACCTCCTTCTCCGTCTTGATAGTATCGAGTAAAGAGGTATCGGACAACTCTTGAAGAAGCATATGCCCTTTAGGAATCACGAGGACTGCCTAGAGCGATGTAAGCGTCTAAGGGCTAAGTCAACGACCCATTCTACATACCTCTAGCAGGTTCTCACCTTCAGGCGGTGGATCCAGATACTGTGCCCCAGTAGTGGTGTCTGTTTTCCTGCGTTCATCGTCTATGTAGAACCTGGCACTACGAACACTTGACGCCGCGGCAAATCTTTTCACCTTTGTTACCTCTTGCTCCGAATGGGAGTCAGCGGGTGCCGCGCCTCGAGGTTTGCGAGGGCTTCTTTGCCGAGTCTTCATGACCTAGGAGATGTCGTTGTGTCTCATGCGTTGTGCTCGTGCGTGTGTCTTTGGCAGAATTTATTAAACTGAAAAGAGTGAGTTTTTGGACAAACGAGTCGGAGGCAAGATTTAAACTGCAAACGGCAGGTGCCCAGCAAGTGCGTGGCAGGTGGCAGTCGGCTGGCAGGTAAGATGTCGATCAGCTCAGCATAACGCAATGGCAACTATCAAACAACGCGCTTTTCAGATGTACAGTCGGCCAAGTCACCGTGCTCTAGTAAAATCCGGACCAAGTATATCGCTGGGTTACCCGATATCCTCTGCTCCGTATACAGACATACATGAGCTGGTGACCCAATGTATTCGACAATATTTTTGCTGCACAATGATGTCGTTTATGCCAATCGGTATTATGGCCCCAAAGAATTTTGCCCTCTTGTTCCAATCTCAAAAATAGAAAAAGGAAAAGAGAGAAAAGCACGGCAGAGACGATGAGCAAAAGGGAATGATAACCTCGTCGAACCAGAAGACGTTGCATCCGATCCCGCCCAGCTCCGATTGGGAGCAACGACGGTGGTTGGGTGGGGCGCCAGGCTACATTACAACCATTCGCTGCTACTTCGTCGCGTCTCTCGACGCGTTAATGGGCCAGAAAAATGATCCTTCATCACTACCAGACATAGCAAATCAACATGGCGCCACATAGCGTCATTAAAATTGTCCCCGAGCCTACTTTTAGGAAAAGGAAGCTTCCGCCCGGTATCAGCCGCGAGGATTCGGACGACGAGCTGGGCAGCGATGATATACCCTGGGAATGGATTTACAACGTCGAGGACCGGGAGCGAGCGAACCATGATGCACAAAACGACCGAAAGAGGCGAAAAGTCTCGGGGACCAAAATTGTTGGAGCTCGAATGGGCAAATTTGAATGTCAGATAGGTGACACGGTCTTGCTGAAAGCTGATGGCTCCAATGAGGCTTGGGTAGGAATCATTTGCGAGTTTGTAGAGGACGACGGGGAAGGGGACAAGGCCGCCAACTTTATGTGGTTTTCAACAGAGAAGGAAATTCGCAACAGGGATAAAAAGCGAACCGATTTCTATCAGGTGGGTTTGCTTCCTGTCTGTCAGGAGCTGTCACTGGCGTAATGCACTAACCAGCCCTATTAGAACGAGCTTTACATATCCCCGTCGTGGGATATCAATCCCCTGGCATCAATCAATGGAAAGGCAAAAGTTATGTCACTGGAAGCCTTCCTGTCAAAATACCCTGCCGGAAGAGTACCCCGTCAGTCGAAAGACTATGGGAAGACGTTTGTTTGTCGTCGAGGTTGCAACACGAGAACGGCAACTTACACGGAAGAGTTCATTTGGGAAGAGATGTATTCGAGTGCTGGTGACATTTTCAAATTGATAGACTTTGTCGAGAAGAACACAAAGGCAGTTCGGGGTCGACGGAAAGCTCGCGAGCAATCGTCACAAGACACAGCATATATGCCTCCACAAACCCCTACTAAAGGTTCCCGATCTGTTGTCACGACACCGCAGTCCAAACGTGGTCATGCAGAGCCAGGGTCTCGCTCACAAAAGAGGTACACACCACTGCCTTTCTTTCCCCTGGTCCTATCGACACTAATTAGTACCGTTAGGGGACTTGGAAAGAAGCTCGAGTTCACACCACTAGCAATGAGAAAGCTCTCTCCCAGCGCTGTTCAGTCTTCGCCATTCCAAATAGCACGCTCCCGCCTTCACGTTTCCTCTATCCCAACAAGCCTGCCTTGTCGAGAAGGCGAGTTCTCCCTCGTCTATTCGCACCTTGAAGCAGCGATTACAGAGGGTAGCGGAAATTGCATTTACATCTCGGGCACCCCCGGCACAGGCAAGACAGCTACAGTTCGCGAGGTCATATCTCGACTGGAGGATGCAGTTGGGTCGGACGAATTAGATGACTTCATCTTCGTGGAGATCAATGGCATGAAGATCACTGACCCCCATCAGTCGTATTCTCTCCTCTGGGAAGCATTACGAGGACAACGAGCAAGCCCATCGCAAGCACTTGATCTGCTAGAGAGAGAGTTCAATAATCCCAGCCCACGACGTGTTCCCTGCGTAGTGTTGATGGACGAGCTGGATCAGCTGGTGACGAAAAATCAGGCCGTCATGTACAACTTCTTCAACTGGCCGACTTTACGGCATAGTCGTCTTATTGTTCTGGCCGTTGCGAACACCATGGATCTTCCAGAAAGAACACTCAGTAACAAGATCAGCAGTCGTCTAGGTAAGTATAATTTAAAGCTTGGCAGGAGAAGGGTTGCAGCGCACAATAATACGCGATGGCTAATTTTGGAATTTGATTCTTTACCAGGTCTTACTCGTATCACATTTCCAGGTTATACCCACGAGCAGCTTATGAAGATTATACAGTCCCGGTTGGAAGGTGTTCCCGGAAACGTCGTGGACGCAGACGCTGTTCAATTTGCAAGCAGAAAGGTAGCCGCCGTGAGTGGCGATGCCAGGAGAGCCCTGGATATCTGCCGCCGAGCCGTGGAAATTGCAGAAGGCGATGCGCAGGGTGACCCGATGACGCCGAGCAAAAACGGCACACAAGACTTGACTCGCCGTGGAAAGGTCACCATCGCGACTATCAAGAAGGCCATAAACGAAGCGACGACAAGCCCAGTGCAACAACACCTGAGAGGACTTCCATTGATGTCCAAACTCGTCATGGCGGCTGTACTTCTCAGGATTCGAAGAACAGGTTTGGTAGAGTCAACTTTTGGCGAGATCTTGGACGAATTGCAAAAAGCAACAGCTCATTCATCGCCCGCACTTCCCGGCATGGCACAAATTCTAGACAGCGGCCTTCAGGGGACGCCAGGTGTGGCCCAACGACGTCAAGGGAGGCCAAGCTACGTCCACACAGCTGCGCTGGATCTTGTTGCAGCAGGACTCCTAAATTTGGAAGCCCATCGAGCCGAACGTTCTAGTAAGCTGCGCCTGGCTATTGCCGATGACGAGGTCAAGATGGCACTTCGGGACGATGGAGAACTGAAAGCCATGGGACTCGGTGTATAGTCTACGAGAATAGTATTGTAAGTATTTCGAAGCCGGCCGTCTTGTGTCAATGCCAATATATACATGCATGTTGATGATTCGCATCCACGTCCGTTGTCATGGATGGAAGCTCTATGAGTTAAAACTTGCGTCTTCCTAGTGATGGTGTCCATTGCAATGGGTGAGTTTCCTCGGTAGCCTTGTCATCCGGTTTCCATATTTTAACTGCAGCGGTAATCAGCAATGTCCAGGCAATGCGGATATCATCAGCGGGGGAGAAGACATACTTGTCTTGTCAGCTTCGCCACAAATCAGACGCAGTCCAGAGCGATCAAACGTCGAGGCCATGATGCCGGCTTCCGCGTCCAAAGACCCTGGCTGTGCCGTGGTATCCAGCGACTGAAAGCGGTGGCCTGTCTTCCAGTCCCAGAAGCTCATGGACCCATTATCTCCTGTTCACCACAAACGATTAGCAAGTGACGACCGGTTGACTGGGAATCGGAATCACAAATCGCATGGAAAGGTGGGCTGCCGTCCTTACCGCCTGAGAAGAAAACATTGTTCTGGTTCACGCTCAAAGTGTTGATGATGGCATTGTGGCCTTCAAAGTTCTGCATGAATGCACCCTCGGGGCACTTCCACTGCTTGATGCTTCCTGTGCTGCCGCTGGCAAACGTGAACTCGGCAGGATGGACAGCCAGCGCTCGAACACCCTTCTTGTGGTGAGTGAGCACGCCCATGGTCTTGCCCGCGGCAAGATCCCACATCCTCACCGTGGAATCGAGGGAGCCTGTGATTACTTGAGGGTCCGCTTCCTGGCACTTGACGTCTGATACGGTGCCGGTGTGGCCCGACAGCACGTGAATATTGCTGCGTGTTCGCATGTCCCAGACTCGGGCGACGCCGTCCCGACCTCCCGTGACGAGAACATCGAGGGTCGGGTGAAGGGCGAGGGTGTACACGCCGCTGAGGTGACCGTGGTAGTGTCGGATTACTTTATTTGTTTCTAGGTCCCAGCACTTGACCATCTTATCTTCTCCGCACGAGAAAAGGTACGGGTGCCTGGGGGAGACTGCTAGGCCGCGGACGGTGCTGATGTGCCCGGTCAGAGTCAGGCGCAGTGAGCCCGTGGCTAGATCCCAAATCTTGATGGTTCTGTCACCAGCGCCGCTAGCAAACCATTTGTTCCCTGGCTCTACTGCCAAACTGCGCACCCAGCCGAGGTGTCCAGAGATGACCCTCATCAACTTCCACGGAGGATGCCACTCGGGCTTTGCCTGCTGGAAGGTATGCGGGCTTCTTGCTGAGAGTGCCATATTATTGTTTGGAGAGCCGTTGGCGACGGGCGCCGGGGTTGCTGAAGAGCCTGAACCCGGGCCGGCCTCGAGCAGTTTCTGTGCAGGTCGCGCCGGACCGTCTGTCTTTTGTTTGGCGGCCACTTGCTTTCCAGGCTTTCTCGACGGGTGTCTGGCAGCCAGGGTGGCGGGCAGCGTCGTGGCATTTGAGTATTCGGCTTCGAATCGTCGCTTCATTACGGCATCTTCAAATACGTCTTCGAGTTTCTGTCGCTTAACACTGGGCTGGTCCGCAGCCCTCATGTACAGGCTTCGCGAAACAATGGCGTTCTGAGACGCCAGGGCGCTCAGCTTCAGAGCATCCTGTGGCTGCTGTGGTGTCTCCATGGCAGGAGATGCGTCTTGGGAGCGATCGCACGGTGTTGTCTGAGCGGGAAGCAAGTTGACGGTTCGCGACCTTTGAATATCGCGGAAAGCCCTGGAGGAGTTGCAGCCTCGCGTGGCGCAGCCAGACCTGCCCCACCGCCGCCACACTCCTCAAACTTGGCCGACGTTAATGGGTGATGCCTTGAGCAGCACGTTTGGTAAACCCGCATCACAGATCACGGGCTCACATCATATATGCTTGTCCAAAGCTGTGGCACTCTCAAATTTCTGACTTTGCGTTACGTCGTTCGCGCCTCAGCCTTGATCAAGCCATAATGAATGAAGAAACCGACAAGTTCCCCCTTCATACCGCCGCGAGGGAAGGAAATGGTATGTGACCAACTCGGGGTCACCCAGCTTCATCTAGCTTACAAAACTAATTAGTCCTCAAGGCGGAAGGCCTCCTCAAAGTAAGAAAGGATGCCACAAACACAGGCTAAAGAAAAACACCGCCGCCATCCGTCGCGTCAGTCCATTAGAGCCTGATCTAACGTATAGAGCCATGTAGACGGACCCAAGGCTATTAAAGAAGAAGGATGACGATGGTCGATATCCCATCCACTGGGCAGCTTCATCAAACAACCTGGAAATACTCACGCTGCTAGCTAATCAAGCGAGTTTTGATCCCGACGTGCAAGTACGTTGTGCGATGAGCTAATCCTCGTGTTATCGGGAGCCTTGTTCCTGACACCCGAACTCGCAGGACGACAGCGGCTGGACGCCTCTCATGATCTCTGCCAGTGTTGCCGACAGCGAGGCCGTCCTGAGAGTCCTTATTCAAAAAGGTGCAGAGGTAAACGAGAAGAGTAAGTCGTGTTCATACACATCATTGTAAGAAATGAATTAAAACTGACCATGTGGGTTAGATTCCAACGGACAGGTGCGGTAAACGGATACTACTGACGAGGTTGTCTCTCCGATGGAAAGTGCTGATGAAATACCAGACTGCCCTTCACTTTGTGGCATCCAAGAAGAACATGGACGTGGCCCGTCTGTTGCTAGGGTCAAATCCGCCTGCTTCGACCTGCTTCCGTGATCGACGTGGGCAGTATCCCATCCACCGAGCCGCGGCAGTCGGTTCCGTGCCCATGGTGTTGCTGCTCCTCAAGAATAAAAGCCCGCTGAATCCTGCGGATAGCGAAGGCTACACCCCTCTGCATCACGCCATCGCTGAGGGACATGGTAGTTACACACGCCCTCGGGAATATTCTCAAGCTGGTGCTGATTGATGTAACAGGCGACGTCGCCATTGCCTTGCTCAAAGAAGGAGCTGATTTCACATTGAAGAACTCGGATGATGTTTTGGCTCTGGATTTGGCACCAGACAAAGAGGCATGCATATATATACACTAATAATTCTACTCAGTGATCCCACGATTTGTTAACACCAGTCACAGGTTCGCCGCTACATTGTACAAGCCGCCGAGCGAGAAGGAATCGACTTAGGTCCGTAGATACGGTGGATGAGAAGGTAGAAGGGACCAATCCTGTACTCCCAAAGAGAAGAAAAAAGCGCCTATACCTCCCATAATTTGCGAACATTTGACGCATCATTTCACTGTTCGCTCAACGAGTTCACGATACATTGCCTTGACATCCTCAACATCGGCCCTCAGCTCTTCCACAAGTTCGCTTTTCTCACCCAGCATCTCTAGTGTTGTTTGATATCTCGAGTCAATATGCGATATTTCCTCTTCCAGCTGTTGCACCTTGGCGGCGACTGTCTTCTTTTCCTCTAGCTCCTTCATGAGACTGACCATGTCCATTCTGGCCTCATCTCTCTGACTGCAAATTCTCGCCATTTCTTCCTTTGCCGTGACCTTTTCTGCCTCTAGTCTTCTGATGGCGGCGCTCATTCTCTCAACTAGTTGAACTGACGGCCCTGCGGCCACTGTTGATACGGAGACCATGTCCTGCGCCATCTGACGAGGCGAGGAAGGCATTGTGTCCGACACTGCGTTTTCTCCCTCAGGGGCAGGAGGCGATGGGAGTTGTGGGGGTTCGCTCGACGACTCGAACGGCGAGAACGGCGTAGGCATCGGGGCAGATCCGGTATATGACGATTCTCTGGTTCGGAGCGTTTGCTGTCCCGAAACACGTCTGACCGGTAACATGGTCTCCGTCAGGCTTTCTGGTATGCTGCCAGGCGCATGAGGTCTCCGTGGTTTGCTCAAGACGCCTAGTCCCGTCAGGTCGGAGCTGAACGTTCTCGGGGCGGAGAGAAGTGGTGAGTCAGGTCGGCTCTGTTGACCTTTCGATGTTGCTCCCGCCACCTCATCTAACCATTGACGTCGTTCCACTCCAACGGGATCTTCTCTCCCAAAAGTATTCTGTCTCGCCTTCTCCAGCTCTGCTCGAGCTTCTTCCAGCGCAGCTTGTGAATCTTTGTACAAAGCCTGTAATGTCGTCAACTCGCTGTGACATTCTTCCAATTCCTGACGGACTGTGGCTAGCGACGGCTGTACATCGCGTAACTCCTCCTCGAGATGTCTTGATCGGACGGACTGTTTGGAAAGTCAGCATGCACGGGCTCGTCAGTACAGTCTGCTCCATGATACACTTACGGCATCCCTTGCTTTCTTTCTCATCTCTGACTCTCGACGCTGCGCTTCATCTCTCTCCTTTTCCAAGTTTGCTGCCTTGGCAAGGAGGGACGCCTCAATGCCTTGCCAGTTCTCCCTGGCAGACGCATATTGAGATTGCAGAGTCTCGATTTGTCTGAAAGTCTTCACTTGGGCCTCTCCACCAGAGCCAGACGAGGCTTCTTCTGCCGCAGTTCTCAAGGCTTCCAACTTGCCTTCCATTGATTGCAGCTCGATCTCGAGCTCTTCTTCGGTTTTACGGCTGCGCTCAACAATACGATCGAGCTTCTCACGCCATTCGGTCTCTTCCTGACGAGCCCTCTCCACGGCTGCATCTCTCTCAGTCCGAAGGGTCGAATTGGCATCCTCCAGGGTCTTTTGCTTTTGACGCTCCGCGGCCAGTGCCTTATTCATGGCTTCCCACTGTATGGATTCAGCCTGCTCTGCTTTATTTTTCCACTCCTGTTCCAGTCGCCGGTGAGCATCGTCTTTCTTCGCACTATCCTTTCTGAGTGTATCAAGCTCCCTTTGCAGCGCAGCTGCAGCACGTTTGGCCTCCTCCCTGTCCTTCTCGGTCTCCTTGAAGCTGTTGAGGCGAGCACGGAGAGTCTCCGCATCAGACAAGGCCTTGTCCCGGGCTTTTTTGAGCTCTTCTGCTTGCTTCTCATTCTCTCCTATTTGAGCACGCAGCTTCTTGATTGTAGTTCTAAGCTTATGCTCACTTGTTGACAGTTTTGTTCCCTCTTCCATGAGCAAAGCAATCTTTTCATCCCTCTCGGCGAGCTTTCTTTCGTGGCTCCCTGTCGGCGCTGATGATGCCGATATTTTGGCGGCATCCGCCGTGGATCTAGACAAGTATTGGAGTTTGGATTGAAGTGAATCTATTCTTTCAGTGTATTCTTGCACCTCGTCTCGGTGTCGAGCTTTGAGCTCTTCTAGTTGTGTTGCAAGTTCCGCGCTATTAGATGATGCCGGTGCCGTCAGGACTGGCGTATCATCTTGAGCGGGCTCCAGTTGCCTAGAAAGATGCGAGACGTCTTCGTTGGACAGTGAGTCTCCATCAGGGACTTCACGGAGGTCCACGTCGGCAACGGGCGGTTCGGTGGAAGAGACCCCGACGGTTTCTGGCGTACCCTCTGACAGATCGTCGACTGACGGTGGCACTTCGGAATAAGATTCTGAAATAGCCGCGCCGGCCTCTGTCTTGGTTTCATTCGGCAGGTCGGCCGATTGTCGCTCTGTGGAAGGTCGGCTTACTCGGTCGACTGAGCTTCGAGGAGACGCCGGTCCTTTGCTTGCGGGACGGCTGGGTGTGCCCTTGCCAGACACGGCCTGAGCCAATCTTGCTTGCAATCGTTCATTGCCACGATTGGTAGATGAAGACCGCGAGTTGCCTGGGCACGGATCTCGTCAGCTCAGGCATACAGGCCAATGTATGATCTCCCCGTCAGCAGTCCAACTTACTAGGGCTTGACCTGGCAAGGGGTGCTAACCGTTGCGATGCTTGTTGCTGCTTTGTGCTTTTTGGGTCGGCAGACGCAGGGTCGGCAGGGCCGGCAGGGAGGGCAGCAGAAGCAGTAGATGCGTCTTGGGCCGGGGCATCCTCGGGATCGGCCAATATGTTGTCCAGCCTCGATTCAACACCTGCAACAGCCTGTGAGAGGAACGAGCCCCATCTTGACTGCTTTCCTGGGACGGCCATGGCGAGGCTCTTGTCGTTTTTTTTTTTTTTTCGATGCGCTACGTACGTGCAGTCCTGTCACCAAGGACGACGGAGAAGGAGGGTGAGACTAGGCTATGGCCTTTTTGATACCTCAGTGGCCATATGCATCGTATTGTCAGGTCAGGTCGAGTAGTATAGAGAGATTGCCATACTAACTGAAGAGTGTGATTCAACCTCAAATTTCCTTGTCCGTACAAACGCGGCCAAGAAAAGGTGGGGGTAGTAGTTTCACTCCACTTTTTAAGCTCATTATATATAGGGTAGGGTGCAACATGTAAAATGTACAATGAACTGTTCCTTCGGCTTGCAAATTGTCATGAAGACTGTTGGAATAAGCGAGTAATTTCGAGTGAACAATATTGGGGAGAGCTATACAAGAGCTGAAAATACATTTATACTGAGGATATCCCCCAACCTAAATGTTGTGGGCTGAGGAATTGACAACTATTGAAACTACACCTTCGAGTATTTTAACAGAAACATGTCACAAAACGCTTTATAAAGTGCATATTAAAGGCCTCAATGTATTGTTATCATCTGTCCTCAATTAAAAAGCCCCACTGTTGGGGTGTTATTTAGGCCCTGTATTAGGCCTACCTTGGTGGAAGAAGAAAGTCCATGTTAGTCAATCGTTGTAGCCAGATTTGAGTCAATCGATGACGCTAATTCTTGATGAAGAAATAAGGTAGAATTAAATCAAGCATTAGCAACTATGCCGTTTTAGGCACCTGCGCGCCTCTTTTCTAGAGAGGCCAGATATGCGTACTTGGTGCTCCCTCCGTACCAAGACCCGACAGCAACTTCGACTCTTGCTTGGCATGGTGCTTGAGTTTGTGCGTTGATGCAAAGATGGGTACTGCAACCCGACATTTAGCTGGTAGGCTTCGACGAGGACCCGTTGCGGGCGCCAGAACGCACTTTCACTTCACGTCACCTTAACGACATTTGGAATCGCGCATATTCTGTCGCGTACCTCGGTACTTGCAGAAGTTACGGATCTGTATATGACCATTGTGACAAGACGAAGCATCATATCAACTTCTGTCATTGCTACAATCGACATCTAGCCATCGGCAAAGCATCTCCGTCGTTTGCCAGGGGAAGGGAGGGGTAGGGGATCATCGTGCCAATATACATACTCGCAGCAACCGAGAAACCGTAGCCTTGTACCCCAATCAAGCGTGGGTGTCTGAAGATCCCAGATCCTGCTGGGAGGGAAGTGAGCCGCCAACGATGCAATTGCCTTGCGACTAGGCATGTAGCAAACATACTCTCTCAGGTGTCGACGCAGGCGCTCCGTAACCTCTCCTGATCATCGACACAAAGGTTGACAAAATAAGAAAAGAAGCCTGTATAACTGTGCTTGCTTGCTCACAAACGCCTTGCAAACGAAATTCTATCCAGTGAACTTCCTCCACCAACTTGTTCGAGGGGTAGAGTCAACCAAAACCGGATCCCTTCGGCTGTCTTGTCGCTCGTCACTGCCTTCCGAGCCAGTGACACGCCTGTCTCGCTCTCGTCCTTCGCGCCTTGCGCGACGTCGACGTCGGTCATCCATCTCATTAGCCGCCATGTCACCGAGTCTAGTCCTGTGTCGAGCGCCCCGGGCTTCACGCCGGGCTCTGTCTTCATCAGTTGGGTTACTGTCATCGGGTGGTGGCGGCGCGTCCGAGTGCTCCTTTACCCAGGACGACGTTCCAGAGTGTGGCCAGGCTGTGCCTTTTTTGTTGTTCTCTTGTCTGCGGTCCTTGCGCGGATATGTCTGTTCGTCGCCGGATGCCTCGACGTGTCGTCGACTACTCTTCCTTTTATAGCCGTCAAGTCCCTCGGCAGCAGCACGGGCGGCACGACGTTCTCGTCTACGTTGACGCTCAAGGTTGTCTTCCGCTGTTGCATCAACATGTTCAGAGCGGAGGCGGTCTTTCTTAGAGCTCCTTCGTGCTTCATGGGCATCTCTCTCTGCCGCAGGGGCAGCGGCTTCACTTTCTTTGCGCATACGGCGCCGCTCGGCTCTCCTAGCCTCTCGCTCTTCCTGGACACGCTGCTCGTCTGCTTCACGGCGTGCGGCGCGGCGTTCAGCTCTTCTAGCATCCCTATCGTCGCCTTTACGAAGCTCGGTGTCTTCTTCACGCTTCCTTCGTCTTTCACGTCGAGGCTCGTCACTTGCTTTGTCATTGTGTTCTCTCTCGTTCCGTCGCGACTTGCGGGCCGAAGTACGAGCGTCGCGTGCCGTTTCGCCCACTTCTGCTTCGGCCTCGGCGCTGGCATCCATCCTCGCTGATTTCGGAGTCATTAATCCGCCGAAAAAACTAGCAAATCCGTACTTCTTGGATACTGACGCCCCTCGCTTCAATGAGGCGTCAGATGGGACGCCGGGATCAACCATAACCGCATCGTCCTCTGGTAACCTCCTAGATCGGGGTTTGCCGCGTTTTGCCGCACTTGCATCGACGTCCAGAGCTCCAGTCATAACGAAATCATCGCCTTCAGGACGTCTTCGAGACCTCTTCTTGCTGCTTGACTTATCAATGCCCAATACCTTGGCAGCCTTTGATGACATATCGGTTACATTCTCTGGCGGGGCCGACGCCAGACCGTGGGCATCCACAGAATGCCTGCGCGAGGATGGCCTTCCGCTGGTGCTTGCGCGTCTCTCTTTATCTCTTGTGGACATGGACCTAGAGATAGGTGGCGTGCTGAACATGGCAGGCATGCGCACCTTGCTAGTCGACTTGTCTGACCTTTCTGCGCGATCTGGCTTGTCTGAGCCGGAGTCCTTGGGTGAGGCCTTATCAAAGGGACGTTTGGATGGTTTGTCAGACTTGGATTTCGAAGACGAGGATGCCTTTCTATCCTCTTTTATTTCCTCCTTTTGCATTGTTGCTGGCGCCGCGCTCCACTTTGCCCACGAAACACCGTCGCCATTGATCTTGTGTCGATCTTTTTTGAATGATTTCGGTTCGGATGGAGGAGTCAAAAGAGCATCAGGTACAGGCGGGGGCGGGGGCGGGGGCCGAGGCGTCGCTTCGTCTTTTGCCTTGCTCTTTTTGCTCTTCTTTGACTTGTCTTTTGGCGCCACGTCGACGATTGCAACTATGTCATCTTCGTCATCGTCAGCTGGGAAGCTTCCAGGCAATTCGGAAGACTTGTGACTCTTCTTTGAAGACGAACTCTGATGTTCAGCCTCTTCTGTCTCCCTGGATTTTTTCTTGGACTTGGAGCTCGACTCTTGCTTGGGGGGGGTTGGCGGCGCGGATGGAGGACGAGGAACAGGATCTGCCAGGGGCTCTTCTTGTGCAGCTTCGAACGTCTTGAGCTTGTCTGCAATCTTTCCACCAAGAGCTTTTCGCGACGGCGCCCCTTTTGAAATAGCCTCAGTCGCTGAGGTCGTAGCTTTGCCATTGGCCGCGTCTTCTACAACTGAGGGATGAGTAAGCAGAGACCTCGTTAGGGCTCGTTCCGAGAGATTAGGTGAACGAACCTTTCTTAGATTTCTTGGACCCGGCTACCCCCCAGAAACTGAAGGCATCATTCGTTACCTTTGGAGACAGAAGCTCTTCCACCTCCTCCGGCTTCAACTCGGGTTCCGGCTCTGGCTCTGGTTCCGGCCCTTTGGAGGATTTCTTGTCCTTTTTCTTGTCCGTCTCCTTCGTTTTGGAGCTCTTCTTGGAGGACTTCTTGGCAGCTTCCTCGGCTTCTCTCGCGCAATCATCCTCCGCTTCCCGTGCAGCCTGATCTTCAGCTTCCTTTGCGGCCCGTTCCTCTGCCTCCTTTGCCGCCTGTTCTTCAGCGTCCTGGGTAGCCTTTTCCTCTGCTCGCCTGTCAATCTTCTCTTTCAAGCGATTGTACCTCTCCGTGTCCTTCTTGCTTAGCTTGCCTTTACTCGCTTTCTTCTTCTCTAGAGAGGCAAGCTCTTCCTCCTCTTGGACAATTGCAGCTTCTTCTGAGGCGATTCGAGCATTTTCTTCCCTTTCGAGCCTTGCACTCTCTTCTGCCTCCTTAGCCGCAAGTTCTTCAGCCTCCCGTTCAGCAGCCTCCTTAACTTCTTGCTCCAGACGTTCCTTTTCGGCTTTCTCGGCCTTCTTCTTTTCCTTCTCAAGTTTCTTAAGTTCCTTCTCACTCAGCTTTGGTTCCTTTTCTATCTTCGACTTGCCCTTTTCCTTCTCTGCTTCTTTGTCTTTGGATTTAGACTTCGATTTAGACGTAGTCAAGTCACCCCATGAATCGGTATCGGCTTGTCCTGTTTGATCTTCAGGTTCAGTAAAGTCCATGGAAGGGGGGGTGGGCGCGGGAGGGGGGGGGTCAGCCAAGGTATCCTTGCAGGTATCCTTGCATGATTTTGATATTTTTTTGGTAGATGATGACCAGGCCCAGTCGCCATCATCATCAACCTTGCTGTCCTTGGTCTCCTCTACCGCATCGGGTTGGACTGTCTCACCAGTTGTGTCTTCCTTAACTTCCACGGGATCGTCTTTCGTTTTGCCCTTCTTTTTTGTGTCCTTTTTGGAGATGGCGCCCCAGGCGTCGTCCATGGGTTCCTCGATGCTGTCGGGCTTCAAAGATGCGTCATCGGATCCTTTTTTCTTCTTTTCTTTTTTGCCGGTCCCCCAGGAGCTAAAGAAATCTTCATCGCCAATCGCTTCCGCAGCACCCTTGGAGGGTTCTTCGTTGGAGGCCGTTTTGTCCGTGTCGCCCATATCGGTAGCACCCTTCTTTTTCTTCTTGTCTGATTTAGAGCTAGATCCGAAGCCCCAAATGTCATCCTTCATGGGGGTTTCCTTGAGGTCTTCCTTCTTGTCTTTTTTGGAACTCCCGCCCCAAGCGCCCCATCCATCGTCGACAGGTTGCTCTGACTCTACGGGAGCGGCCTCTTTCAGCTCCTCGACAGCACCCTTCTTCTTCTTCTTCTGCTCTTTTTTAGACAGGCTGTCCCAAAAATTGTCATCTGACTTCTTTTCTGCCTCAGCTTCCGGCGCCGGTTCCGTCTCAGGCTCTGGTTCTGTTATGATGGTCTCCTCAGTCGCCCCTTTCTTCTTCTTCTTTTTATCCTTTTTCGAGGAGGAGACTGCACCCCAGACGTCTTCAGTTTTCTTCTTCTCTGACTCAGGTTCAGGTATGGATTCGAACTCAGGCTCAGGCTCAGGCTCGAGCTCAGGCTCGGGCTCGGGGTCTGGGTCTGGGTCTGAGCCCTTGCCCTTCTTTTTCTTTTTCTTCGAGCTGCCAGTCACGCCCCAGATATCGTCGGTTTCTTCCTTGTCGTTTGGGGGCTCCTCTGGCGGAGGCTCAGGCACGGCGGCCGCCGCATCTGGCTCGGCATCATCCCACATCGTGGCCTTCTTCTTCTTTTTATCTTTTTTGCTAGACTTGGCCGTCGCGATACCCCAGCTATCTTCATCCTTCTTTGCAGACTCGGGTTCAGCTTCAGGTTCCGGGTCAGGTTCCTTAGCAGGCTCCGGCTCCGGCTCTGGTTCGACGGCTGCTTTACCTTTCTTCTTGCCCTTTTTGGTAGCTGTAGCGCCCCAGACATCAGCATCAGCCGTAGGTTCTGGCTCAGGCGGCGGAACTGGTGCTTCTTCATTCTTTTTCTTCTTGTCCTTCTTCCCGGTACCCCAGGTGTCCCAGATATCACCAGCGTCATCTTTCTTTGAGGGTTCGGGATTTGGCTTGGGGGGCTCTTCTTCAACAAGAGCAGCGGCAGCTCCTTTCTTCTTTTTCTTGCCTTTCGAAAGAGAAGCCATCCAGTCATCCGCCGCTGGTGCGGGAGAAGTTGATTCCATTTCCGGTTCCGGTTCCGCTTCGGGCTCGGGCTCTTCTTTCTTTGCTTTTGTTTTGGTGGACGTCCAGCCCCAAGGATCCGATGGTGTGCCAGCATCAGCGTCGTCTACCGCGTCCTTTGGCTCTTCATTAGAAACTGGGCCCCAAATGCTGGTCCCCTTCTTTTTCTTATTTTTTTTGCCAGCGCCGGCGACTGCAAAGCCGAGATCGTCGTCTTTGGGCTCAGGTGTGCCTTGCTCGCCCGTTTCAGCCTCGGGTTTATCCATGGACCCAAAAGAAAACGTAGTTTTGCCATTTTTGGCTTTTGTGCCTTTGTTATTCCACGGATTAGGGTCAAGCTCGTTCTTTTTGTCGGCGGTCGCAGCTCCGGCGTCGCCGCCGCCTGTGCCAGACCAATCCCAATTACTGCCGCCTGTATTCCATTTTGTGCCCCATGCTCCAAAATTGTCTTTTGTGTCAGTAGAGCCAAAATTGATGTCCAATTTGCCTCCAGAATCGTCGCCAAGTTTGATTTCTTGGAAAGACTCTGCTCCAAAGCCTATGGCAGGAGTCGCCGACGCCGCCTCTGCTTCGGCGTCGGCGTTGTTCTTTCCCTTCTTCTTCTTGGATTTGGCCGGCATGAAATCATCCAGGGGCTCCTCCTCCTTCGCGTCGCCGGGCGCGTCCTTGCCCTTGTCATTGTCCTTGTCCTTTTCTTCATCTCCATTGCCATCCCCAGAACCATCACCACCACCACCTGCAGTGCCACCACTCCCGCAATCTCCACCGCCTTGGTCTCCACTGCCATTGTTATTTTCTTCGCCGTCCCCCTTCTTATCGCCACCGTTGTTATCTTCAAACGCTTTTGCTGGAGCAGCAGCTTTCTGGGCGCTGGGCTTCCTCTTTTTAGCCTCGATAATGCCATGCCGAGAGTCAAAGTCCACAGTGACGTCTAGGACCGGGTCTGATAATAGATCATTTTCAGATCTGCCTTGTTTCTGTGCACTTTCGTCCGGTTTTTGTAAAGGAAGATGATGGTCGTAAACCGGGTTTCGTGAGCGAGCTAGGCGGGATGACTCGTCAGGATCGCATATATCAAATCCGGAATCAAAGGATGGAGAATCAGACGGCAGCCCGTTAGACCTTCTTGACCAAAAGGATGGTACTAAAAGTGGCCGACCGCCTGGATATTGTTTCAAACTTGAAGCCTGCAGGCAATTGAAAGAGTTAGATCCGGGACCAGAGTCGTAGCGTCAAAATTCAGCGGAGCCAATCCATACCAAAGAACAGTTCCTGCTATTCATCCATGCAAAGGAAATACATGTCAATTGAATCCGCAATGACTTCTTATCCCAGACAGTCTTTGAGGTTTCTGATGCTCGAGAGCAGTCGTGTCCGCTTCCTCCCCAGCTTTCTGTTAACGCCAAAACTTCGGCCGCAGCCATTGTGCAAGTTGAAGCCTTCAAAAGTGCAAATCGACGGCGCAATCATGGAAGCTGTTCGTTCCAAGAGTTATAGAAGGATAAACTCGGCAGCTTTTACTACTCTTTGTTGTCGATGGCTGTAGCGGGAGACACGAGAGCGTTGCAACCGTTTTTAAGCCTGGGTCGGTTTTGCCGTTAGAATTAGTACCCAAGAATATGTCGTGTTAAGACTTGCGCAAAGTGCTTCTATGTGATTGCCTGCCGGGGCTTCAGACCAGACTTGGAGGGGAATAGAGGTCAAGGCGATGAAGGAAAAAGAGATCAGTAGACGCTCAGAGTCCTAGGAGGTAAATTTGACAAGGGATCTGGGAGCTTTGTTAAAACTTGGGCTTGGATAAGATGACACTTGACCGGAGCCACGGAGATTTAATCCGATGGCAGGGCTCCCAGTCCGGTAAATAGAATATCTGCCTTTGTGCGGCACCAGAGGCTGCTGGTTCGGTGGCTTTGCGAAATTCGGGAGGCGGAACGCTATGCTTCGCGCGGTGTATTGGATGTGGGCACGTAGTTTCAAGTTGTCGAATTGAGCCTGAGATTATTATCCCGGACGTCCCACTGGCACAGGAGGAATGCGAGGTTCTGTTGTAGTGAAGGCGATATGGACCAGACCAGAGCGGAACTTTCAACGCCTCTTCCAGCCGCCCTGTGAAGGACGATACTCACATGACAGTCCGGCAGTTCGACATTGGCGAGCGAGACGGAACGAAAGACGTGGTCCAAGGGTCTTGATCGACCTCGTAACGTATTTTTCCTCTCTACAGCTGGAGACGAGAAATAAAAGAAATAAAAACGGTGGATGAGGAAAAAAAAAGTCAAATTTAGAAACAGGGAGTCGTAGCACGTACCGCAGGCCAACCCTTGGAGAGAAGCGGTGATAGGCGACGAGCGACGCGTGAGAGGAACCAATGAAGCTGGCTGAAGTCTTGGCTCACCCCCAGGCCACTTGGCGTACGGAGTAAACTGCACACGAAAAGAGGACCAGTTGACATAAAGCAACGGACCCCGTGACGAATGTAATGTGTGGTGTGAGGGAGGGGAGCTGGTAAGTGGTTGGGCATACCAACTGTCCAGGTAGTTACGAAGTCGGAGTACGGAGTAACTAGTAGATTGATAATCCGATTTTCAACACGGAAGAGAAAGCAGCTGCAGGACACACGAGATGACTGACATGTGGGCGAGGAGCAGGACGCACGCCGTCTCTCTCCCTGTGCACAACAAGAGACCGCTCGGAAGCTGGACCTGGATAGGATAGCACGCAGGTGCGCCTCAAACTTTCAGCGTACGTGAGTAAGAAGTGTGCAGTGCAGGGTGCAGGATGTATCATGCAGACGGCCCCCTTTCCGCAGGAATCAAGATGCAAGGTGTGTTGATGTGGCAAGGTCAGGCAAAGGGGGACGGACACTGGATGCAAAAGTGATGCTGGTGAGGTAAGCCGATGGATGGGGTGACTTGAGCCCGGGGGGAGGAGAATATAAAAAATGTCCCCTCGCCGAAGCACATCTGTCACTCATCACGCGCCTCTTTTCAATCGCCTATAAGCAATCATGGCGCGCAGCTGCAAGTCGGGCGTGGTAAAGGATTGATACTTGGAGAATGCAAGAACAAGCAAGTACCTCGCTAGGTACTTGGCATGTTCTCCGGGGCAGTACGGAGTAGTTGGTACTTTGTTTTACGGAGTGCCGACTGCAATAGTACTTGGTCATGCACCAGCCTGTTTGTTGGTTGACCCTTGTTTGCCCGGCGAAAGAGGATGGCTGGGGGTGGGCTAGGTGGGGCACACTGGCAGGGACCAGGCGCCTTTCAGGCATTAGCGGTGGCGTGAAGAGGAGACGTTGGGCCTTACCGTCACCAGACCTGATCGTCTGGTGTACAGGGAGCGGTACGGCGTATGCAGCACGCCGTACCACTAGTACGCATGTACCTACATGGTGTGCGTCGGGACCCCCAAGCAAAAAGTTGTACCGAGCAATCTTCGTTCTCACCACCAGCTCTAGCGGCGCAGCCTTGGCCATGCTCATCTGGCATGGAGCTGCAAGATGTCGTCTTGTGACTCTTGCCGCCAGTAGGAAGTACACACCTCTTACCGATTGTTATCCGCTCGTGATTCAGAATGTCCCAATACCATCAATAATGATTTTCTAGGACGCTAATCTTGCGTGCCACCCATCCTGGAACTGGGGACTGTGAAACCCTTTGGCCAACCCACACTCGGCTTGTAATCTTCTCCTGCAGTACGTACAGGTTGCTAAGCGTCACATATGCCATACTACACGGTCCATCCCGTGCAGACAAAGGACGGCAGCGTTAGGAGTCAGAACACTTCACTACCAAGGCACATCAGAGGTTGAAGGCAGCTGGTGACTTGACACACGGGGCGGACGAATCCTCATGCAATCCTTGCATTTTGTGATGTAGCCATGTCCGCCTGTCCGCTCGTCCCCTCGTCCGAATCAGCATCAATCCCCGGTTTGGCAGTGGTCCTTTTTCAAATCCAAAATAAAAGGCAAAAACGGAAATGTACGTGTTCTCGATTTTGTGTATCGCGAATTGTGCAAATGCCCCTGCCCTGCCCTTATCTCGGCTGTAACCTCGTCAAACCAAATGCCAGCCATGGCCATGGCCCTCCTCGCGCCACGTTGATAATCGAACGCGTCCGTCATCTAGTTAGTATTAATATCAATACATACATGTCTGTCCTTTAGCGGGGTACGGAGCACTTGTAACGATAGCCGTGTCGATCTGGCGAGGATCCCACTACAAGCATCACCACAGCCGCACTCGAGCATGTGCATCCATCCATCTTCATTGGGCATGTGAGTTATCCTTCTGATCTGGTTGCTGTCCGTATCCGCTCCTCTCTGGCGTCCATCCACTCGAGCACGCGGGCCGTCAGCCATCGGGAACTACTAGTTAGTACTACATAGTAGTGTGTGACGAGGGCTACCTAAAAGTTATCAGGCATTCCCACTTGCACAACGTGTCTCGACGGGACCAACAAGAAAAGCCTGGCCACGTTCTGGAGACTCTAGTCATCCGGTCCTAGGCGGGTTCCGCACCGCCAAAACGCTCACCGCCTCTAGTTTTCGCTGACGGATCCGAGCCCTGAGCATCCGCATTCTTCGGCAAGAGGTTGATGAGCTGGCTGCCTAGCGTTTGTGTGAATTGCTTGGGTCGCTCAACACGCCACCACGCCTGAGTTTTAGTCTAGCAGCCTTAGTATGCCCTATGCTACGTGTTTCATACAAATGCATAGCAGCGCCTTGTGTAGACTCGAGCTGTCAGCACAAGTTCATAGTCAATGCTAGTAACGCTTACGTGCGGACGCTTGTAAGGCCAGTCCTAAATAATATTACGATAGTATATTAGTGACTAATTTATACGCTGCTAAATATTACATACTTAAATAGAAGTAGCAGTACTTCTTGCTAATAAGTAATGTAAATTATAAATCAAAACTTTACCCACTGTTATAGTCTGAGCTGTAGCTCGACCCAGCGAGCGGGACATGGCCTGCCTCTTTGTTGACAACCTATATAGTGCTAGATAAACAAGCTTAGCGCAGCTTATTCATGCCTTTTGACCCAACGGTCGGGGTCCGGCACACACCGGGATGACTGCGGCTAGCACCCGCTATAGCTCAACAGTGCTAGTCCATCACACATTACACACATTGCCCTAACGCTATTGACAGGCTTAAAGCTAGCGATTAAGGGCATTATTAGATAGAATCCTGAAAAGCCTTTGCGAGCTTTTTAACTACAGCTTTCTTGCCTAATAACTCTAATAAGTGTGATGGACAGGCCATATTGGGCCATGGCGGGTGCCAGCCGCAGTCATCCCGGTGTGTGCCGGACCCTCTTGGCCCCCGACCCCCGCCCGCTGACAATCAGACCACCCGCTGCTGCAAGAGCCGACTGGAGGCAGGCACCCCGGCCACCATTGAGCCAAAAGAGTACGTAATAAACAAGCTGCCCCAAGCTTGCTCAATCTGGCACTATATAGGTCACAAAGGGTGGCTATGGCCCCGCTCGCTAGGTCGAGCAGGGCTCAGACTATAACAATAAGCAAGATAACTGCAAGGCGAAGAGAAAAGAGTCACCTATAATACTAGGCCGATTCCTGTGATAATGTCATGGTCTGAGCTATAGCTCGACCTTAATGGATGCGCTGCAATAGATGCACTGCACTGCAATGCGCGATAGGGGGACATAAGCCCGTGCAGGACCTATATAGTGTCAGATTGAGCAAGCTGTGGACAGCTTGTTCAATACGTACCCTTTTGACTCAACGGTCAGTCAAGGGGTCCGGCAAACCACCGGGATGACTGCGGCTGGCACCCGCTATGGCCTAATAGGGCTAGTCCATCACAGATAACAAGAATAGGGGACTGTATAATATTAGCCGAAATAAGTAAGTAGGGCCCTATAATATTACCTTAAACAAGCCTTACTCTAAGTAGCATGAATATAAAGCAACTAGTCTAAATATTAAGCAATTAGCTAAGCTTTAGTCATGTTTCTATAACTTAAAAGATACCTCAGACTCAAGTTCTTCTCCGTTTCCCTACTTAATCGTCCCATCTCTTAGGTTCACCCTTACACTTAGCTGGTAGAATATCAGTAGAGCACCTCTTAGTCTATATACAAGCTCTACGGAGTATCACAACGCTCTACGACCCTCTTCGCGTTCCTTTTAGCTGATAATTTTTCCCTCTCATCTTGTCTAGCTTATCTTACACGGAGCTTTAAAAAAAAAGCTTTTTTTTAAAAAAGGGATGGCACCATCTCCGCGTAAAGCGCTCTCAAGCCTTGTCGGGCTAGCCGTCGCTGTTCAGGGCGCGGTGACGGGACGGAGTTATACACCGGAATGCGGCGGGCTTCAACGGCTCATTAGGGTGCAACATAATCTCACCGCCAACGAGAGGGTCTTTCGCGCCTCCGCCCCGTACTACACCTCCAAGGACTCGGACCAGCACGTGACTCGAACCACGATGGATTGTCTCCGTGCGCGGGGCATCACGCTCGTTATTTCTCTCAACAGCAAGGCCAGCGACGAGTATCTCAGAAACACCCTGACCCAGCAGGGGCTGGTCTATCTGCCACTACCTGTCGAGGACTTCGGCGCCCCCACGCTGGACCAACTGGCTTTGGCGTGGGCTCTTTTTGTGAAGCATCGCAATGGCACGCTCGTGTGGTGCGGCTACGGACATGGCAGGACGGGCACGTTGATCACTTTCCTACAAATGTCTGTCCAAGACGAGCTGGGGCAGAAACCTCGGTGGGGCGCTAAGGACTACAAAAGAAACAGCGTCGAGATGACCGTTCAGAATGCCTTGCTGGATGAGGTGCAGTTTCGCCTGCGGCGTGGGCTGCGAAACAATATCAACGCTTCGATACCGTCCACGTCTACTGCGTTGGTCGAGCTGCGCGTGAAAAATGGAGATTTCGACGGCATTGACTGTCCTCAAGTCCTCCACGATGCCTGGACGCAGAGCAGCAAGTCTAGCAGAAAGTATAAGAGAACGCTTCCCGGTATGAACAGCCCCCCTTCCCAATACAGTAGACACTCTCCCGTTGACACACCTTTGTCTTGCCGTAGGAGAGGAGTGTAAGCGAGCCCGGGAAATGTTGTTGCGCCACGAGTGTGGAGTTGATGACTTCAGTCGTCCCGCTGCCACGCTCTATTCGCCTGGGAAGAGCCTCGTCCTGTCGAGAAACGGCCAGGGCAACCTAGTTGTGAGGTCATGGAACCGTGATAGGTGGTCGGAGGGCTGGTCCAACTACGGAGGCTCACTTGCGGGCGACCCGGCCGTCATGCTTATCAGCAACGGCGACTTGCGTATCTACGCACGCAGCGCTGACAACCACCTTTTGGCATCGGGCATATATAATGGCAAATGGATCGACTGGGGGGACCTGGGTGGCGACATTGCAGGCTCCCCTTCGGCTATCTGGCTGGGCGCCGCGGGCATCCGGGTTTACGCACGAGGTAGAGAAGGCCAGCTGCTTGAGAGGCGTTACCAGGGCAACCAATGGCACGAGTGGAAAAATCTAGGCGGCTACATTTTTGGAGACCCTTCGGCTGTCTGGTTGGGCGCGGGCGCGGGCATCCGGGTTTACGCAAGAAATGGACAAGGCCAGCTGATTGAGAAGAGTTACCAGGGCAAAGACTGGCACGACTGGAAAAATCTAGGCGGCCAAATTAGCAGCTCGCCGGCGGCCATCTCCAGCAACGCTGAAAACATCCGCGTCTACGCTCGCAACCATGCCGACGAACTCGTCGAGCTGTCGTATGAGAAGCGTCGCTGGCTGAAAAATTGGCGAAATCTTGGAGGGGAAATAACGGGCTCGCCCGGCGCCGTGCTCTTGGGCGATGGCGTACGCGTTTATGCTCGCAGCGCAACTGGCAATCTCCTCGAGAGGGGCTATTGGCACAATAAATGGCAGGATTGGAAAAACCTGGGTCGGAACGACTGTGACGGACAGAAGTCGGAGTTGAGGGAGGAGTTGTGAGCCATGACCAGTGCCGTGGTAGGTTTCATGGACTGGTCATTCACTCAACTGCTGTCTTGTACTTGACATGAAACACTGCCTGGGCTGTGCCTTTTGATGTGTATTCAGACCTGATTGAGGTGACATGAATCGAGAAACTGCCCCGACGGGTGGGTGGTTGCCACTGGTTTCTATCAATGGTACATATAGCCTGTCTTCCTTTCACTCTCAATCTCACGCCATGGCTTTTCTTCCCTCACCGTCGTTGCGAATTAGTTGTTTCATCAGTCAAGTGGCTTCTAGGACCTGGGCAGTATGCACGGACGGAGTGGAAAAAGTCATAATAAATTCGGGCTCGATGTATTCCAAGCTCCACATCTAATACTTGCGGCACGTCTATCCTGATTCCTCTGCGCTCATACCTGGGCAAAAATCGAAGTCGAATTCAAAATGAACGCCAGTAACTCCCTCTGCCGTCACAAAAGACTTGCAGGGATCTTCTAAGAAGCAGCCTTACCCAGTGCCCTGCTGCCGTGCATGTCCCATTCCCAGTCCTGCAATGCCGAACAAGTAACCACATCTTGTCTACAAAGAAAACCAAAACCCAAGGATTTACATGGAAAGAAATCGCTCCGATCTCAACATCATCTTTCCGCACAGGTATAGTCCATCTCTTCAGCACTAGAAATTGTGAGACTCTCACCCTCCTCCCCCAGTTCAGCATCCACCAAAATCGCTAGCATAGCCAATTTCTCCGAAGTTTTGGCCCAAACCACCCTCTCCATACCCTGTACCGGATCCGCTGACATAGCCCGTCTCTTCGGCTTCATCGTAGTCGCTGGCATCGAACGACGACCGACCGCTTAGATCATCCTCCATTGCACCCCCTGCGTCAGGGGCAGACCAATTCATCTGGGCCAAAGCAGGATACTGCTGCAACAAGGCCGCGGGCAGACTGTAGTTTCCACTGGAATCCATGGGATAGCCAGTTGCTGGGTCCAGTGTCACTTGTGGGGCCATATTCTGGGCAATGTCTTGTTGAAGTCGTTGTTCCTGCCATTCTCTCTGTCGCTCGACCATCTCCTCATCCAGCAGCGGCTTTATGCAAATACGGCCAGCTTCAGAACGGAAATGACGGCCGAGAGCGTCGGCACGGGCAAAGCGTCTGCCGCAGCCCCACTGACCACTGCCTTTCAGATCTCCTTTGCACACAAACTTCTTTTCTCCAGAATGAAGGCTCTCGTGTCTCTTGCGGTCGTGCTGGCGAGCAAATGCCTTCCCACAAACCGTGCATACAAAGGGGCGTTCATCGGTATGAGTCCGCAGGTGAGATCGCAGGTTGTATGCTCGTGTAAACCTTTTGGGGCACAACGTACATTGGAATGTAGCGGGGTGTTTTTGGACGCGCTTTGCAGTGCCTGACTCTGGACTATTCTGATACTCGGGATCAGCCAAGCGCAAGGCGATGGCGTTGTTGGGAACGGAAGACGTAGACTGGCGTCTACGCGAGGGTGACGAAACAGACTGTCGTTTTGAGGCTGACGGAGAGCGGGAGGACTCGGACCGAGCAGACAGCTGAGAAGTTGGCGAAAGGCTGGCGGAGTTTTGGGGCCGACCGAAGGCAACGCCGCCTGGACGGAAAGGGTCTGTAACAGACCGAGGTCGTGATTTAGGTCGACCTGGAGCATTGACGTTAGACTCTTTAAATTTGAAACTGAGAGCATTGCCAAGTCGTGGAAATAAAGAGTACACATACCTCTATCAGGTGGCGGCGTCAAGGAGTCCTGGTCAATGCGAGGCTTGACAGATTCGTAAGGACCTTGCTTTGCATTGTTGGGCGCGAAATCGATATTGATGGCCGGCGGCGCCATGTGAGAGATGTCGCCTCGCTCTTGCGAAGCCAGTGAAGGAAATGACGTAGGTTGCATGCTGTGGTAACCCATGCCGCCGCCAAAGCCGCCGCTCGGGGGTGCTAGAACGAATACTGGTTGATTCATGTCAGGCATCTGCTGAGGATTTATTCTTGGACTTATGGCCGGGCTGTGAGAAGGGCTTCTGCCGTGTTGTATGTTGTCGCCGATGCTAAAGGACTCAATGTTCAAGACGTCTTGGTAGAGACTGCCGTCCGAGGCTCTTTGCAAAGGCGAGTGGCCTGGATGGTCATCAAACGAGTCTGCGCTGGCCAAATTCGGAGACGGCGAGACGGACGAGACATCCGAGTATTCGGAGGGACTGCGGCGGTGGCCCTGGAACTGAGGTTGCTGTGCCCAGTCGCCAATCTGGTTCGGGAGCAAGGCAGCCTCTGGTCCCAGGGAAGCGTTCCTTGAATGGCTGCTTTGCGGAGGAGAAAATTGGTGATGCCGGCCGAAGGGAGGCGACTGGTGAGCAGAAGCAGGCTGGAGGCTGTCTGGCTGGAGAAGATTTGGAGGGATGGGTGTGTGATGGGATGGAGGAGAGGCCATGCTATTAATGCCATTCGGGTCGAGGCTTGACGGCTCAAAGAGCGGGGCGTTGAACTGATCACCCTGGTTGCCCGGTGGGAAGAGAGAAAAGTCCCCGTCGTTGAGATTTGGAGACATGTACGCCGTCGTCGATTGCGACTGGGTATCAAAGGACAATGCGCCGTCGGCACCTGGAGCGGAGGCGGGCCTATGGGCAAAACCAGCGCCAGGATCGAAGGCAGCCGGATCAGAGACGCTCGCTTGGCTGAATGCTTGCCGCGAATCGAGAAGGTCAGTGCTCGAGCCAAATGAGTCGAAACCCGAGTCCGAGGTACCGGGAAATGTCAAGCTTGACCGTTGTTGCTGCGGTCGAGCATCGAGATCTAGACCCAAGCCGACGGACGAGTCCTCCGGGCCACCCACTCCGGGTTCCGAGAGCGCGAGACCCGTTTGGTTTATATCAGGCTGTTGCTCCTTGCCATGACTGGGCGTCGAGGATGACTGGCCGTTGTGGGCCTGTTGATCCATCTTGTTGGAGCCGTGCTGTGTAGAGATGTGATCGCGAGGCAGACCAGACTTCCCCGAGGCAGCCTTCTGGCAGCCAAGGGGGGTCGGGAGGCTGTGCAGCAGCACTACAAGTGCAAGTGGTGCGATGTGTAGTCGTACTGGGGGCAAAAGTCGGTCGCGCGGACGTGGTGCGAGTCGGTCTTCAACGGCAGCCCCGTTTCAGACGATGGCGGGCGAGGGAAGAGAAGAGAGGAGAGGGGCGTGAGACTTTTTTGGACTAGATGTCAGATGGGTGACTGAAGAATGGTGTGTCGGGTTGTCGCTGGCGCGATGCGGTTCGGGCGTGGCGTGCCTATCCCAAAGCAGGACCAAGGGACCAGGGAAGAGAGGCGTGGCAGTCGACGTCCGGGGAGCCGAATAGGTCTGGCAGAGCCGAACAAAAGAAGCAGAGGACCGGTGGGGGGTGGGGCGTAGGAGAACGCACATGCGCCAGCGCGTGGGTGTAGACAGGTCGAAGATTTAGTAGTGTGGCAGAGGAGCGAGAGAAGAGAAGGTTGTTTCCTGAGGTAGTGTAGGGCTGGCAGGATGTCACGAGTGGTGGGAGGCTTCGACACCGGGGCTCCGGGGGGGGGGGCGCTTGTTGGAGCGGCAGGCTGGGGTTCAGGGTGCGGTGCCAGCTGCTAACTAACGTTATGCAGCGTGCTGTGTTAACCCGGCCGATGCAATCCCGTCCTGGCCTCTTCTACTGTGATGTGAGGTCGTGGACACGGTACTCTGTAGAACTCGAGACACGACAAAGTAGTCAAGTACGGACATGTGTCCAATTTGGTCAGAGGCGCCGGTGACGCGGTGCAGCAAGTGCACGAGTATCCGTGCCGGCAAGGCTCCGCACGGCACGTCACAAAGTGATTAGAGTATTCGGGAATCGGGATGGCCTACAGCTCGTCACCGCAGGCATCTTGATCGCGCAGTCGCAGCCACAACTGCTCTGCCTGGGTTGCGGTTTCAATCTGACGAGTCGTGGTGACGCGCCGTTTGGGCCAAGCCAGGGCATTCCATGTGCGTGGACCAAATGTCGCTGCCGCGGACCGGCGGTTCTCGGCTGGTGGACGACAATCTGCCACTAGCGTCAAGTCGTCGGTCGTTTCAGACCGACACTTGACTGATGAATGAAAACCTCGGGCGCGTGGGTTGAGACCAGTGACCACCATCACCACCCGCTTCTTGTACGGAGCAATCCCGGCCGGCTGCAAGGTGGAAACCTCTTGGGCCCGCCATCCAAGAAAGGACTAGTACTACGCCCAAGAAAGACCATGATTCAGAGGTTGTAATTAATGATGGACCGAGATTTTGCTCACAATCGCCCGACTTCCCGTGTCCCCCAACCTGGCATGGGGATGACGTGGGAATCGCTCCCAAGGCACATACTTATCTCACGCCATGGTCTGATCTTCCCAAGCCCCGGTATGAGGTTGTCGTGGACTGAACTGTCCGTGAACTTTCTGAACATGCACCAGAACAATGGAATGCCTGCTCACGTTGGGTGCCCCGGTACGTTCCCAACCGGCTCCCAAAGCGTCAAGGCAAAGAAACTTGGAAGGCAGGCGGCTTGGTTCTTCTACTGTACTCCGTTCCGTACTGACATGGCTTCACGGACAGGCGTCGGAAGAGCCTGGAGCACCTGGGCTGCTCCTCAGCCTGCCTGACGAGGCAAAAAGTGCCAGGCCACCACGTTGGACTCGGAAACCAACCGAATGCTGCCCTGCGTCCGGACAATAACTAACACCAACACACCACCATCTTGTTTCCGACGAAACGGCTAGCTCGACAGGTTGGCCTTTGTCGCAATATTGATGGCACCCTCCGGGCCCGGTCGTTCTCATGGGTCCGTCGGTCAAACGGGTCGTGTCTGATCAGCCGTGATACTGTACTTGCGTCTGGTACGGAGTAGTTAAATCACAACTACTTCAATGGCTGCCTTTCCGCCGCCCCTGCCTGCGTACAACAGCCACGAGATGGCCTTTTCTTGTCCTGGCGCGGGCATCCCCCATCATCTCAACTTGTCATCTTCAGTGACTGTCAAGCCTGCTCCTGCTGCGGAGCGCGCCGTGAACGCCGACGGCCAGTCGCATCAACATTGAACAACCACCACCACCACCCACCACCACCACCCGTGATGGCGACTGAGTCGTATCAGTCTGGACGAATCAATTTGTGACGTCCGGGATGCGGCACGAGCTTTTTGCTCGCCAACCCTCCCCCCCCAACGTATCCGTCTCACCTTCTTGTCGCCGGCTTTCCGACCTGGAGAGCAAGTAGCGTGCTTTCCGAGCTGCTGTCAGAAATCATCATCATCCATCTCGAGAATAAATGTCCACAGCTGGGCGACACGACCGAGGTGCAACCTGGCTGGTTGTTGACATGAATCATGGACAAAACACTAGATTCAACCGCTAACTCTGCTTCATGCAGTCAGCCTCTCCTGCAGGCTGCACCAGCCCTCCTCGATAAACCAGGTCCAATCTCCCGAAACATATTCAGGCTTGTAATGTAATGTAGCCAGCGACCCTTGACTGGGCCGCCACAGCCTTATAGCTCGGTGCTCGCGGACATGGTGATGAGCCGCCGGCCGAGGAGTGTCACTGCCGAGATGGAGAGCTATACTCCGTACGTACTAGTTACTCCGTATGTAATAAGGTACGAGGAGTCCATGGTGACCCGGAACGCGCGTTACATCCGCCCCCATCCCGCTAACCTGGGCCGAGCCTTGGCCTGCGTCTACTTTATATCCGCCCAGCCCGCATCGACAAACCAACCCGCCTGACTCGCGCGGGATCGAATCAGCATACGGAGCAACAATCATTGACATTGGCAATCAGAGTACTCTGTACTCCGCACGGAGTGCTAATTGCCCTGCGAGACAGACAAGCATTACCAAGCCGGGATGCGGGCTAGCTGGAGCATGGTTCGACAGCCTAGCCTCTTCTTGTCCCTGGACGTCGGTAAGCAAGCAAGCTTAGCCGTCAGGACTGGCCACCCGAAAATACCTCGACACAGCTATATCCAGACACCATGGAGTCCACTCCCGACCAGACGAACCATGGAGCGCAACATCAGGGTTAGTATGCTGTTGCGTGGGAACTGTCGAGTGCTGCATCTCAAAAAGAGGCAGCCCTATGCCGGTGATCGATGATGGCCTCGGACTGGCGAAGGAAGTTCAGAAGGGCTGGCACCGAAACCAACCCGCCAATCCACCACCTGACCGACGACGAGGGACCCACCTGGTGGATCTCTCCAACTTGTCGCCAAGCCAAGCCAAGCGTCAAACCTTGCGTGGCAGACGCGTCATGGCTTCAGCAACCATACCGTCCTTCCGGCCGATTTAGCACGTGCACGTGCAGGAAGGAGCGTGGCAAGCTGACAACAAGATCACTACACTGTGGTCCGGAATTCACCTTGAACAAACAAAAAAGCCATAACCCAGTCAAGCTTGTCAATAGGCACAGTCTACATGAGTCCCTCGAAGGTCCAAGGAGGATGCTGTAAAGTTTAAACGCCCTCGTCAGCGCCCTGGAAGGAGAGTTGCCAGCTAATTGAGAAAAGGAAAGGACAGCTCCAACGAAGGCGCCTTTTGCAGACTGCTTCCAAGTTCTACGTGCTCTACACATACGAGGAAGTCTAGTGTGAGGTTGAGGCGGTGGCGCATCGCCATGGCCAAGGTCTCGGTCCAACTTGGCCCGTCTGTCCGTGGCTCCGGAGCACCAGTGGACGAGGTCGTATCATCAATCATCAGTATCGCCTATCCGCTGCCACGTCACAAATAGGCTAATTTGGCCTGGCCGTTGTGACCGGCTTGATTCCACCACGAGGCCTACGTTGCGGTTGGTACTCTCAGGTCCAGTAGTCAGTCACGTCACTAGTTGCGTGATTTTTGGAGCTGTTCGCCAATCCCACCTCCTGCACACCAGTTCTATTGACCGAGACGGTATGCTTAGACAAGGAAGAAGGGAAATCAAATGAACAAAGAAGTGTATGCAAAGTCGCCGTGCAGTAAATCTATGAGCCGAGAGGTATCGCCACGTCCTACCCAAATCGCCAAAAGTACACCGTGGTAGTTACCCACCATCCTTCTAAAAGAGACGAAATGAAGAAATCTAGTTGAAATCAACTCTAGACGCCCCCATGAGCATATATTGGGGTTTACCCTAGGGTAGGCCCGAATCGACGGAAGCGCAAAAAAAAAATATAACGGCCAAAGAAACCAATAAGTCCCATGTTATACGGAGGAAATTGAGACCGAAATGCAACGCCGTAGGGTATTGGTCTTTTGATGCTCCCCTTTGCCCCCCACCCCTCTCTTTGCTCTTTTCATGATTGTTCTCAAATGACATCAGATCGCTCGTAACCAGCGGCCCTTAAAGCCGGTCTCGGCGGTTCTCTGTCCTTGAATGTGCTGACGAACGGGTTAGGATCCTCCTTCTGGTTGAGGTTTCCAAGCGTGTGGTTGACTCCACGGTGGCCGGCTTCATCGGCGCGAATGTACAGTATGAGGTCTTTCATTGTGCGGTTTCCCTCGGGCATGTTCCAGTACTAGAGTCCACTCGTTAGCCGCTTTGCTTCACAAAGGAACAGGCCTCTTAGACGCGGCGTCGGCGTTCATTTCGCGAATGCCTCACCTGGATGGCAATATCGGGGATTTGAAACTTTGGGTCTGCCCACTTTGGGAGGTGGCCGTGCTCGATTTCGCGAATCGCCCGAGTGTACGTGTGGACGGCTTCTTCTTCGAGGTAGCCGACGAACCTGTGCACGATGCGAGGGTGGAGGAGGTAGGTGATGAAGAGGGCGTTGAAGAAGACGCCCTGAGCGCCGATGATCATGAGCTTCATGAAGCGGCCGGGCTCGCACATCTTCATAAAGGTCAAGAGGTGCATTCTCTCGTTGTAGCTCTCCTCGAGCAGGGTCTCGATCCAGCCGTTGTCGCGCTTCATGCGCCTGAGGCTGCTGAGATGGCGCAGCATGCCGCCCACCATTCCTGGGACGCCGGCTATGCTCTCGAGGAAGACGAATCGGACGAGCTGGGTGATGGGCGCGTTAGCGGCGGGCTGGGACTGGGGACGCCATGTTTGTTTCCCTCTTGGATTGTCTGAAGACTCCCGTGGCTACGTACCCATTGCGCTTCGGTGAGTGGCTTCTCCGCGACTACTGATGTGGTGGGATGCTTTTTATCAACCTGCTGGTCCCGGGCCATGCCAGTCGCCTTGTCCATCCAGTAGCGCGCGAAGCGAACAATCTTCCAGGCGGCCCAGTCACTCACGTTTCGGGGCTCACGGTGGGCGGGCTCGACGGCCACCATTTCTTCTAGGGTATACCCGGGGTGCGGCCATGCTGCCTTTGTGGTTTGGATGTGCGGCGTGTCTTTGGCGGGGAAGAAGTCTCGGAGGCCGTTCTTGGGTGTCGTGGAGAAGAGTCGCGGCGAGGCGATTATCTCACGATGCTGGACGTGACCGAGGCGGGCGAGCCTGAGACCAGGTGGTGATGTAGCAAGTGCAAATTTAGCAGGTCGGGCCAGCTTGGCGGCCTGCCGGGACATGTGGGATCGGGTCTGGGCGGTGGTGGAAAGCATGTGAGGCAATATTATCGTGTCGGCCACCTTGATGGTGTTTTACGTCCGTGGCAGTGGGAACTGACTGGCTGGGCTGGATTTATACGTCTTGGAGTCTGGTAAACTGACAACCGGTATCCGACCCAGGTAATGCCAGACGAGGACGGATCGGAGTCGACGCCAACAAGACGGCAAACCAGGGAGGCCTGCTTTGATCGGGGCGGGTTAAACTCAGTTGAAACCATTCAACACATCGGGATCTTCCGGGCCATCATGAAATGTTCCGGCTTATCCCGCCAGGCCGGCGGTGCTCGTGTCGTGTCCCATTCATGCCTGGTTCTAGTGGACCGTCTCTCGTCAGCAAGGCTACATCTGTCACGAGCATGAAGGATATTTTCCATCTCTCCGTACTGTGTTTGGGATCCGGAATCCCCTGAAAAGTAAGGCCATGATTGAGCATGACACCTCTATTTCCGACAACACCGCAGTGGCACGTGGGCTGACTCATCCTCGTCCGGACTTTCTATATTAGTTACTGGATACGAGGAGCCCTACAAACACTTTCGAGCCACCCAAGTTCCACCTTACTTCTAGCTCAGCAGATGGCTTGATCCGGTTAGAATAATATATTGATGTGTACCTTGGGATTCGAGTCCAGTCACATCATGCCTGACGTTGTAGGCTTGGCGAGTTTGTCATTTGCCCTGTAATTGCCATGTCCGACATGATAATGGCTCCAAGCCTCCAACTATAAACACCTCCCGCTTTTCCAACTGTTTTTATCCATGCGTCGAACAAGCTGCCTTGTTTACATCCTAGCACACTGTTAGCGTCGAGATCGGTACCCCGGGCTTCGCTCAATGCTTACCTCTCGAGTGGCGTCAAACCAAGGATGCGCATGCCATTGGCCAACGTAGTACGGGCTCCATCGTATAAAGCCATACGAGCCTTCATAAGCTCTCGTTCGCTACCAACCACCTGCAAGTGCTCGTAGCTGCTGCTGATAACGTGGGTCATCTTGAAGAGATAGGTGAGAACTGTTGTTGGTTCCAATGTCTTGAGTGTGTTTTGTAAAACATCGGGCCATTGCGACAGCATTCGCACGACGTTGACAGCATGGTCCTCCTTCAGAAGAGACAAGTCGGCGCTGTCCAAGTCCTCATCCGTGAGGTTTGCTCGGCGCCTAATGGAGCACAATCGGGCATGTGCATACTGAAGATATGGACCGGTATCTCCCTCAAAGGACGTCATGGCCTCCATGTTGAAAGTGTAATTGTTGATTCTAGTTGCGACATTAGTTACTTGGGACGACCAGGCCCCTAAAGCCATCGCCACTCACCTTTTGCCAGTCATATCCTGAACCATTACACTGCTGATGCCGAGCGTGTCGGCTGTGGCATCTGGGTTCACAACTTGAGCATATTTCTCCTCATTCTTCTTCATAGTCTCGTGCATGTGGTCCGCACAGTCCTTGAGGATATCATCGAGACTAATTATCGCCCTCGTTAGTACCGTTCCTGGAAAGGGACTACAGTGAAGCAGTGTGAAGCTTACAACTTAACGGTTCCCTTTCGAGTGCTCATGCCAAGGACCAGTCCAAAATTGATATGCTGGCACTTCTTGGCAATGTCGCTATATCCAAGAAGCTCGATTATCTGGAAAAGCTGCTTCAGGTGGAGGTCCTGCTGGCTAGCAACCACGTAAATCATGTGGTCAAATTTGTACTTTTCATACTATAGGAATGGGTTGTCAGCCAATAAATGCTCGCGTTCCAACTGGCGCAGCCGTGTTGACGGCGGAGAATGCGTACGCGGCCAAGAAGTTCGCAAACATCACGAGTCAGATAGAGCGCAGTGCCGTCTCGTTTTCTGTACGTATAATTATCAGCTCTCGTTCTGCCTGACCTGTCAGTCATGGGCACATACCGGAGAACAGTAGATCCCAGTCTCTTTCCCTCCTTGCCCGGGACGAGTTGGGTGAAGTCAACAATGACGGCACCGTTGTCTTCTCGACAAATATTTTTCTCCTTCATCTCATCGGCCACTTTGGACATTGACTCTTCAGATACCTGACTCTCACCTAATGTTTTGAGTTCAGTGACGGGTGTTTTGCGAGCGCTCGTTGTTGTACATACCGCTGAACTCATCGAATTGGATATTGAGCCGGGAGTATGTTTCTACATGGTGTTAGAACATGGTGTATCTATTCAGCTCTCGTGAACGGCAGTGGAATAGGTGAATATTGAAATGACGCAGACAAGATCCGATTTCATTGCCAAAAGCTTGCCAGCGTACCTCTATAACGAGCGATACTGAGATCCCTAAATCGCTGCCACTGAGCCAGAACTGCCCCGTCCCTATCGGTCTAGTTGCGTATTTATTAGTGGCACCATAATTTGATTGTGGTTTCTGGTGTAAAGAATGCGCGGTGTCTTACCATGCGCCTGAAGTATTGGCGGGCCTGTTCATCCAGGCTGTTGGCTTCCAAGGCACTGACATCTTTGCCCTCTTTCTTCTGTTCTTCGATGGCCTCTTTCTCGGCACTCATCTCTGCATTTATCTGAACATAAAGTTTAAAGAGGTGGTCGATGGGGTTCTTCCTGAGTTCTTCTTCATTTCCATTTCGTTCGTACGCCAAGGCCAGCAGTCCATATTGCTTCCCCCAGTCTCCAAGGTCTAAAATTGCAGTTAGAACTCGCTTTCTTCGCCTTGTATATAGATTTCTTTGACTAAGAAACACCAGCACTGACAATTCATCCTAACGACGTCCCAACCGTTCGCCTCGTACAGATTGGCAATGAAACTGCCAATAATGGTGGAACGGAGATGACCAGCATGGAAGGGCTTCGCGACATTGGGGGAGCTGAACTCGACAATCTAAACTGGTATTAATGGTTTAAGGTGACAGCAGTGGAGTATGAGACCCTTACAATACGTTTCTTGCCGGATCCTGGGTCTTTCGGATCCCGAAGGCCATTGAATCGATTTTTACCTACAATCATCAGTCTCTGATTACGCAATTCCATTTCGTGTATGACGAACCGAACTCTTTGCCAGCTTTTCTGACGAGAGGGATAATTGACTGCATCATGGGCTCTCCTTTGAAGAAGAAAGACATAAAGTGCCCACTGAGCTCGGGCTTTTTGAAGAGAGGGTCATCGTCTGGGAACTACGATAAATCGTGCGTCAACGTTATATGCCCCACACGTATATTCTCATACCAATATTTGAGGTCACCGTACCTTTTCAGCCCATTCCTGGGCCAAAACGTCGGCCTTCTTGCCTTTGATTCGAAGGGCCGGAACTGCAACCATGAAGTCGCCCTTGTCCAGGCTCTGCGTCCACATCACAACAGAATAAATGATAGATGTTTCGACACCTGAAATATCGGACAGGACATCGCTCAGATGTGCCCTATACAGATCAAGAGGGTTGATTTCAGGATGAGCAGAAGGGTACTTCTGCGCCAGACCAGGTAGAGTCAAACCCTCCACCCGCTGGGCTAGCTGATCCATGATGCTCGACTGAGCCAAGGCAGATGTGCTCATCGTGCAAGGCAGACAAGACCGGGATGAAAATCTCGATTGAAACCCCCAACTACAAGTAGATGTGCTTAGGGTTATGACGGTAATCGTGGGAGTTGCAACGCGGACGGTCGAGAATCGTGGGGATCGAGGAATTGTATTGAAACAGTGTCGTGCCTGGTATAATGATCGTCGCGGAAAGAATGAAGCGGGAACACCTAAGGGAAGGCTAGGAGACGAAATCGCTGACATGAATGAAAGGCTTGGACGCCCAAGATGAACTTTTCTTCCCACTTGCAAGCAATTGTGACTCAAATGCCTCTTTGGTTGGTTCCCCACCACATAGAGGGGCTTGAAGCTTGATAGGCAGGGCTGGCAGGCACAGAGCTCGAAGTCACAACAGCGCCACGGTCACCGGACTGGAGTATCATTGGGCGAGACCAGTGTAGAGAAAATGATTTGGGTCGGGGCGGCGATTCATTCCGCCGTTCTAAAGTTGGCACCCCAGACTGCCCACACCATTTACCGGTCACAGCGCGATTGAAGCACATGCAACTATATCTACCGCCAAGTCACATTGCTTAGGTGACAAGCACGGAGTATTTACCCCGTTGCGATTTGAGGTAACGTATTACTAGGTAAGTACGGAGTACCCAGATAAGACATAATTCGGAGGCAATGGACACCCCCCAGGTCACTCACTCTATGCCACCAAGTAGGCAAGTACGGACGACCTAAAAGCATCAAATATTTTTAGTATTAGTAGGGAGCCCAGGGCCATTTAAACAATGACAGCTGCGAGTTTAAGTTGATAGCTGTCCCAGGAAAGACACGCATGTATGTATGGCTGCGGAACAAAGAAGGTTGATAATGGTCAGGGCCCAGGATTGACGGCATGTGACTCGACTGTGTGGTCTGGTGCGACAATATGCAGCCGTGACTAGCGTGAGAGGGAAATATGGGAATAAATGTTAAATGTTACTCGTAGTCACGCAAACTCTGTCCGTTGTCAACTGCAACCCGCTTTCCGAATCTTGCTCTTCGTGGTACGTAGTATTAATAAAAGGTCTTGCCCTTCCTTGCCTAGCATTGTGGCCTGGCACCTGACGGGCCAAAAAAAAGAATTAAAAAAATAAAAAAGGGCGCCGCCGGCCCCTCCCTCCCTTTCCGTGGCAGTAGTAATCGTGCTCCCTCCCCTCCCGGCGAGCGACGCACAAAAAAATTCACATCCCTACGTGCCCCGTAGTCTGTCAACCTCGCTTCCCCCGCAACGCACTCAACGCACTCAACGCACTCATATCTCTTCCTACCCGCGACGCTCTCATATCTCCTCCTGCCCGCGACGCTCAACGCATGCATAGCTTGTATCGTCGCAACCGCCAGCAACATACCTAGGTAGCTACCTAACCCGCTCGTAACGCCATCGTTGTCATTGCTGCGCAGTCACACCTTTCAGCCTGGCCTTCTGAACCTTTGACATCATGCCTGCGAAAAAGCAGTGGGGTAAGGATTTCTCAACGTTTTGGCACCTGCACGCGCACATCCCGCGTATCAAGATATCAAATCCAGATCTACAGATAGGACAGTCCCCGTTGCTTACGATGCGGCTCTATGGAGACTGCATACGATTCTAGACCAGCATTTGTGCGCTTGTTCCTGTGTCTGGACTGCATCTGACTGACCGCTCCTTACCCCAGACGAGGAGGAAAGCGACTCCAGCACTCCTCCTTCTTCTCCTCCTGTTGCCGCTGCTCGCCGGCGCCAGTTTGAAGATGAGGAAGACGACAGTGATGTGAGTGTGTCGCCTATTGCTTCTCAGATTATGGCCCTACCAACGCGTTGCTTGAACGAGGCTGATATTTGTTGCTCTCAGGTGCTCGAATCTTGGGACGCCGCCGAGGATTCAGAGGTAGAGCGTGAGAAAGAGCGCCAGGCCTCAGAAGCCAAGACAAAGGCTGCTGCTGAAGATGCCCTCAACAAGAAGTCCAAGACTGAGATAATCGCCGAGCACCAGGCCAACCGTGCCCGTCAACGTGCGGAAGAGGACGATGAGACCGAGGACGACGAGACCGAAGCACAGCGCCGCGAGAGACTGCGTCGTACGGAGCAAGAGGCGGATCTGCGTCATGCCGAAGATCTGTTCGGCAGCGTTGGTATCAGTAGCGGCCGCAAGGCTCCGACTATCGGCGCCGCCATTGTTGTCGACGAACAAGACCCGACCAAAACTGTGAATCTTGCTTCTCTACCACTTTTAAATCCGCAGACAAAGAAGCAGTTTGAACTTATGCGCACTACACTTTCGCCTATCATCAATGGGAATAGCAAGAAGGCCCACTACAGTCTCTTCCTTGAGGAGTTCGTCAAGGACCTGGCAAAGGAGCTGTCAAGTGATCAGGTCAAGAAAGTTGCCAGCGCACTGACTCGCCTCAGCAACGAGAAGATGAAGGACGAGAAAGCCTCCGATAAAGGGGGCAAGAAAACAAAGGCCGCCAAGACAAAAACTTCACTTGTCACCAACCGTGCCAATGCCACGGATATGTCAGCATATGATGACGATGCGTTCGGGGAGTATGTCCACATCACATCACCCCTCTGCATATGTTTTGAATTGCTGACTGTTTTTATAGTGATGACTTCATGTGAAGAAGTTCTTTGCAGATTTAGCACCAGAGCTGCTCGAGTCGCCACCACTTTGGCACTATTATGGACATCCTAAAAGCCTGTTGAGCAGGAACGAATGTCTTCTCTCACAACGAACGTTCGTGTCAAGACTGCGTGGAAACGAATCCTATCCGCTAGTAATGCGTTCGGTCGTGTCGAGTGCATAAATTATGCTCACATATCTGCCCTTAGAAACGTCATTGGGAAGTCGTTCTCGCGGCCTGCTTCGTGGTCCGCGGGACGGATGGGAAGAGACGGAGTTTGGAGAATGATACACCTCGGAAGGACACAGTTTGATACTTGACGGGCTATGCGCATGTCGTGGGCAAATTCATGCACTCTTTGTCCCTACTCGGCACACGAATATATGCAGCTCTATACTTGCCCTGTCAGGGAGTTAGCCTCATCTTGCGGGATTTAGTTGGGGTAGATACAGCTGAGGTATTTGTTATAACTACCTAGACTGAAATATTAGGCTTCGGAAGTCAAAAACACATGTGAACCACGCAATGTTCGTTGACCCTTTGTGTCCAGGGCCATACCCATGTATTCCAAATAACTTTCATCACACGTCTATAAGGATTCCATGTTCAGCGTCATTCCCGTCCGGTTCGCATGCACGAGCAAAATATACTCTTCCTACAACGCCAATGTGGGTAAAAACCAAATCATGTAGCCTAGTTTCAACGCCATAGGCCAAATGTTCGCTGCACCGTTCAAGCCTTGTACCGTCACTGTAAACAAATATCATTCGCTTGATCAGCGCCCATTCGTGTTTCGTCAAGGGTGCGAAAGATGTTGCAAGAGAGGAAGAGAAAAATCGGCAAAATGCCATTCTGATCGAGTAGAGACATCGAGGAGTATTGTATCAAACCACATTCCCCGCCATCCCCATAAACAGAGCGTGGACAGCAAGAGACAGTGTCCAGAACCCAACCTTCTTGAATCTTCGGACACGGCTCTGTTGATTTTCCACGTCCTTGGCAAAGGCGTCATACGTTTCAACTGACGCGTCATTCATCAAGCCGCAGTCAAACACGGTCCAACTTCCGTCAAAATCGCTGAGACGTTTGACTATGCGGCAAGATATTGGAATATAAGTCTTCTTGGCGTTGATGTAGGCCACAATTGGTCGTACAAGTGCCTGATTGATATAGGATATGTCCCTTGTGAAAAGAGGTACTGCGGCCTTCACATCATTCATGTGAATGCGCATGTCCATGATGAGATAGCGGCGATCTTCTTCGCCGGGTCCGCCCGCTTCATTTGTTCCAGCAGTCTCAACATGGCCGGCTTCCGAGAGATGTCCAGATTGGAGCAAGACGGGGCTGTTGTCGGCAGAGTTTTGTAGTAATCGCTGTTTGTTCACAATGACTGCCTCCTCGAGCTGGTCATAGAAATCGGCCATGACTTTCGTGATTCCTTCATCTGTCTCAGCGGGTAGCATTAAGTCAGCCACAATGTCGACATTTCCTTCGTAAATCCACCCGAACGGCCCCTCGACTCCTCGGTTCAGATGATCGATTTTTAGGCCATCAATGCGTAGCCTGCTAAACTTTTCCCAGGCATCCTGTTCTCCCAACCTCGTCATAGCTTCTTGATTTTGGCGGGACACAATGCCATGGACTTGACGGGGGTGTATGGTAAAAAGGGAGCCGTCAAATGATCCGGACATATGATTTGCGGACAAAAAATCGTAGAAGAGCCATTGTTTTCGCAGTCGTGGGAGTTCGCAAGAGTATATGCTGACGGAGAACGGCCGAAAGCCGCCAGGTTGATGAATGATTAACAACAGATCTTCTAATTTGAATGACTCGATCTCAAAGTCCCCAGGCTGGTGTTCATGTCGGTATGAAAGAGGGTCTACTTCCTCCATCGGCCAGTGTACTGAAGTACGATCTACAACGCCCCTTACCCCGTTTACCTCAACATCCTTGAGTAAACCCTTGCCGTTCCACCAGTTGAGAAACGACAATGTGACATTGACGTTAGCAATCGTAACATCAAACTGTGTGTAATTACCATCATCTGCTGGGTCAGAGTACTCGACGAAGTGTGCCTGTCGGCCAGCAGCTGCCACCGCAGCAGCGTCCGACGAGCCTTTGCTCACAGAAGACTTGACCTGGCCCGGTCGGCGAGACACAAACACGTTTCGAAATGCGATCACTCCGTTTTTCCATTTGGGAACGATTGCCGACTCAAATACAACTGTAACACCGGCAGATTGTGTTAAGTAATCACCTACCCATTTTGCAAGGGTTTCTAGGTATGGCTATCAGCGTTGTCACCAGATCTAGTGAAGCATTGGTATATCGCTTACCTTGTGCAAAGACGGTATTGATGGAGAAGATGAGAAGAGAAAAGAAGGTTGTGGTCCCTACAAGAATCCACACAATGTGCCCCAACATGAACCAAGACACAAAAGCCCCCCATTCATCAGCATTCCATGGGCGCATGCTTCTGATAGACATCCATTTGAATCGAACTTTGAGCCTCTCCCAGAATCCGTTTGCGGCAGCCAAGAGCTCCTCCTTTGCCGGTCGATGTGGTAACTTCGGCAGATGGAGGTACTTGGAAACCGAAGTTGCTATCGATTCAACATTATCTTCGCTACTCTGTGGTTCTGAGGCTTGCCGTTGCTGTTGACTTGACTGCGGCCGCTTGCTTTCAAGCGACTCAGAGGATCTTCTTGTTATCGGTCGTTCTTGTGCAGTCTTTCCTTGACTGGAGTAGCTGTACTGCTGTTCTCGCAGTAGCTTTGTAAAAGCTGGCACCGGTCCGCCATGGTGATATCTGAGAGCTGGCGCGTTATAAGATGCCTCCAATACCCCGGTCGAACGGACGGTGAACTTTGTAGAGTAAGGTGAAGAAAAGCGCAGAACCGGTACTACTTGATTATGGCGCCCATGCCACCATGTCGGCAAGTTTCGATGTATCGATATCGACTGCGGTTGTTGACTTGGTCTCTGAAGGTGCAGCTGTCGAAGAAATCCAGTTCCAGGAGGTGCTGTATGCTGCGGCCAAAGACGGCTTCCCAGGAGCCGCGATGAAGAGGCCTTAGACATTCTTACGGATCATGGCGCCTAAGAGGAGCGAATCCCAGGCGTTGAGTTTTAATATTTGGTTCGATCGTCTTCGCCTGTACTGAATGTTCTTTAGGGGCAGGCGATACTATGACGAGAATCAAGGTTGCTTGAAGTGCATAAAACTCCTGGCTCGTTTATGATGACGCGCTGAAGTTGATAGTAGGTACCTACGTACCTGCCTGGCTACCTAGGTACGTTCCGGTAGCTAAAGGGCTGGCCAATAGATAAGCTCCGATAAGCTACCACAAATTTTTGCTCAGATCCCAGCAATCGTAAAAATTGGTCACTGACATTTTTTAGGCATCGAAGTCTTATTTTACTTTGATAACGACGCAAAGAAGGATTTTGAAAATCTCATGAACCAAGTTATTCGAGGCGCAACTATCATGCCTGCCCCTACAGCTTTAAAAAAGGTTGACGAAACCCTGCTCCAAACTGCGGAGTCTTCGCGCCAGACGCCAGGTATTTTTTATGATGTTGTATAATCTCTTTCAATTAGCTGACCGTTTTTCACAAGAAATGGAGGAAGCATTCCTCCTTGGAGAACCAGATATTCTGCTCAGAGATGCAGATGCTGCACCAGCAGCAGACGAAGAAGAAGATGATTCAATGGCAATTGATGAGGAGGGTAGGCCGCGTTTCGCTCCATCCAGAGATATTGTAAGTATTTCACTTACGATCTACTGCCGATCTAGATTGGATGTTGGCTAATATAAATTTAGGACCCTGTGACGAAAGTCGAAACTCGAAAGATCCCAGTGCCGCCCCATCGAATGACGCCGCTAAAACAAGCATGGCCGTCTATTTATCCTCCGCTCGTTGAACACCTGAAATTACAATGCCGAATGAACGTTAAACGCAAGACGGTAGAGTTGAGGACTTCACAACATACAATTGATTCTGGAGCGCTGCAAAAAGGCGAGGATTTTGTGAAGGCTTTCACTCTCGGTTTCGACGTTGACGACGCTGTTGCTTTACTCAGATTGGATGACCTCTATATCGAAACCTTCGAGATCAAAGACGTCAGAACCATGCACGGTGACAGCCAAGCACGTGCGATAGGCCGTATTGCTGGCAAAGATGGAAAAACTAAATTCGCAATTGAAAACGCCAGCAGAACTCGAATTGTTCTGGCTGACTCTAAAATTCACATTCTCGGAGGATTCAAGAACATTCACATGGCTCGAGAGTCGGTCGTGAGCTTGATTCTTGGCAAGCCGCCCGGCAAAGTATACGGAAACCTGAGAACCGTTGCTGCCAGGATGAAAGAGAGGTTTTGACGGCTTGAGCATCACAGAATGATGGCTCTGGTAACCACACAATGGCGTTAAGGGTAGGCATGCATTTGCAATCTGTTAATGATCTTTGTCATATGAATGGTAGCATCGGGAATGAACAATATATGCAATGGGTCCGGCGCAAGTTACTTGAATAACAGGAATGACGCAGGAAAACGCTGGAAAGGATGTCCGGTATGACTCATACGTTCCTGAAGATTTTGTGGAGGAATACAGGTATTACTGCAGAGTATACTGTGTACCGTATAATACAAAATACTTCAATTTCGTTTTTGTGAAGTGCTTCTTACTAAGTACTTTAAGTAAGTAGGCAGCTCTGGCCGGTCAACGGCTTCATGGGGAGCTATTTCTGAACTGCGAAGGTCTTACTAGCTACTTAGTACTTCAACTTAGAGGTACCTACCTACCTACCTACTTTAGGTAGTCCCTCGATTCGAATTGTAACTGTAGTGCTTGCTATCATTGAACGCTGCACAGGTGGTGAAACGAGGAGTCCTTTTTTTTCTGTTCCGCAACCACCCTACCCGTGCACGTGCTGTCTTGCTCCTCGCCCTTTCCTCGTCTGGAGGTGAATGTTGCCCCTCCGCTGTTGGTAGCTGCCCCACCTCGCCCCTCGGATTGATCCAATTAGGCATGTTCACCACAGCAATCTTCCTGGCTGGAACCAGAAATCTCCCACCTTGCCTCAACAAATATCCTCCTACAAAGCTTTCACAAATTCCTTCGTGAAAAACCATCGAAATATTGCCATCGAATCTCTTGAATTGGTAAGTAGTTCCGCGTCTGAGCTTTTGCCTGGTCTCAACTCATCACGCCCTTTACCCACCTTCTATGCGCTACACCTGGCTGCCATTCTACCCCTCCATGTGAGCTGTCATTCAACGGATCGTGTCCCAAGCTTTGTCTTTGAGGCATATTTGGAGCAGCCCTTGGGCCCTTGTCATTACTTTCATACGTCTTTTCGGGTACATGTTGTTTTTCTTGGAGCGAGTAAATTTGCAACATATCATTCAGGATAATGACATGATCTATTTGTTGCCTGCGCCGTCTTAACGGCTCTGTTTGCAACACCTACCTACCACCATAACGCTGCACTGTCGGTTCAGTCTTGGCTAACATTTTCATTTCTCTCTATTGTAGAATCATATTCAGCTGTTCGCCTTTAAAAATGGCCATCACCAAAGTTCACGCGCGGTCGGTGTACGACTCTCGTGGTAACCCCACCGTCGAGGTTGACGTAGTCACCGAGACCGGCCTGCACCGAGCTATCGTTCCCTCCGGAGCTTCTACCGGTTCGTCCCGATCCTCTCCAGCCCCAATACTGGTGCAATATATAACATAGAACCCAGGTCAGCACGAAGCTTGTGAACTTCGAGATGACGACAAGTCCAAGTGGGGCGGCAAGGGCGTTAGCAAGGCTGTTGAGAATGTTAACACAATCATTGGCCCTGCCCTGATCAAGGAAGGAATTGATGTCAAGGACCAGTCCAAGGTGGACTCTTTCCTCAATGGCCTTGATGGCACTGACAACAAGACTAAGCTTGGTGCCAATGCCATTCTGGGTGTCAGTCTGGCTATTGCCAAGGCCGGTGCTGCTGAGAAAGTAGGATAATTACATCCTTGTCGGTCATTTGAAATTCCAACAGCTAATTTTGGCAAGGGTGTTCCCTTGTATGCTCATATTTCCGATCTAGCAGGGACCAAGAAGCCATACGTTCTTCCCGTCCCCTTCATGAACGTCCTCAATGGCGGGTAAGTAATACTAGGGTTGAACCTCATCGGTCAAATTTGCGGGATGGAGGCTGACTGGACTAGTTCTCACGCTGGCGGCCGGCTTGCTTTCCAGGAGTTCATGATTGTCCCCTCGTAAGTCATACAGCATTGTCTTATTACTTGGTCTAGCTCTAAATGAAGCTTGTAGTGAGGCTGCTAGTTTCTCCGAAGCTATGCGCCAGGGTGCTGAGGTATACCAGAAGCTCAAGTCTCTAGCTAAAAAGAAGTACGGCCAGTCCGCCGGCAACGTGGGTGATGAGGGTGGCGTTGCTCCCGACATCCAGACCGCCGATGAGGCCTTGCAGCTTATTACCGATGCCATCGAGCAGGCGGGCTACACTGGCAAAATGAAGATTGCCATGGATGTTGCGTCCAGCGAGTTCTACAAGACTGACGCAAACAAGTACGATCTCGACTTCAAGAACCCTGATAGCGACCCAACCAAATGGATCACCTACGAAGAGCTCGCTGCTATGTATTCAGATCTCTGCAAGAAGTACCCCATTGTCAGTATTGAGGACCCTTTCGCCGAAGATGATTGGGAGGCCTGGAGCTATTTTTATAAGACCCAAGATATCCAGATTGTCGGTGATGATCTGACTGTCACCAACCCCCTCCGCATCAAGAAGGCTATCGAGCTAAAGGCCTGCAACGCCTTGCTTCTCAAGGTAAACCAGATTGGTACCTTAACGGAGTCTATCCAAGCAGCCAAGGACTCCTATGCTGACGGCTGGGGAGTCATGGTCTCCCACCGATCCGGTGAGACAGAAGATGTCACCATTGCGGACATCGTCGTTGGTATCCGATCTGGCGAGATCAAGACTGGTGCCCCATGCCGCTCTGAGCGTCTGGCGAAGCTCAACCAGATTCTCCGAATCGAAGAAGAGCTCGGAGACCAAGCCATTTACGCCGGCTCTAACTTCCGCAAGTCGGTCACGCTCTAAATATTAAGTATCCACCATTATTGCTGGCAGATTGCGGCCATGGATGAAAAAGTGGTTCACAAGCTGTAATGAAGAATGAAATACAATTGATGAGGTAAAAAGTGCGAGGAAGAAACGGCGATGGAAATAGATCAAAACAAAAATAGGTGACGCCAGAGAAAATAGGCAAATATCACAATGATATCAAAGTTCTTCTGCTGGTCGTTGCCATCATTGCATCGTGTTTCAACAAGAACAGTATATCTGTCAGCAGAAATTACAGCGCATTGATTGTGTGCATCTATGACATAGGTCGCAATTGTAGTGACAATTGCGGAGCGTTCCCTTTTGCTAGCAGTTAATTTAACGGCATAGCGACCCGTCTGGCAACCATGGCTTGTTTTGTGTGGCGTAGGTTCGACCCTCCGCAGCCACATTGTGGCTGTCGCCACAGCAACCCTCAAACACAACATCGGTAGGTAATGAAAACAATGTGGCGCGAGATTCCAGAAGCTGGCATCCAACATCAAAAGTCCCAGTTCAAGAAGAACAGACTGTTGCCGGGTACACTAACATATTATGGCAGCCTCAAATAACCTCATCGATTTCGATGTAATCGAAGGACAGAAGGAGAACATTCAGTCGTTGCCCGGTGGACGATCGGCAAGGAAATTAGCAGAGTTGTACTCGCCATCACCACTGCACAAACTCGCAACACCCACTCCTTCAGATACCAAAAATGTCCACGATTGCATTCGCGCCGAGTACGAGACAGAGATTCAAAATATCTCCGATTCAGACGATCCTCTCGATGTGTTCGACCGGTACGTCAGATGGACACTGGATGCATACCCAACAGCACAGGCAACTCCTCAATCGCAGCTCCACACGTTGCTTGAACGCGCCACAAAGACATTCATCACCTCTGCACAATATAAAAACGATCCTCGCTACTTGAGGCTCTGGGTTCATTACATCCACTTCTTTTCAGACTCCCCCAGAGAGACCTACATGTTTCTCTCTCGTCATGGGATAGGAGAAGGGTTGGCCCTCTTTTATGAGGAGTATGCTGCTTGGTTGGAAGCTGCAGGAAGATGGGCGCAAGCACAGGAAGTCTATAAGCTCGGGATCGAGCGTGAGAGCAGGCCAGTCCAGAGATTGATGCGAAAGTACAAGGAGTTTGAGGAACGAATGGCACAGCAGCCTGCTCGCGCGCTCGAGCCGTCCTCGCCAGCCCTTCCTACCGTTCGTCCAGCGCTGGCAGCAAAGGTTTATCCGTTTGGATCTTCGTCTCGGCCCAGTGATCCTCACGCGCCGCGGCCTAGTAGCAGTGTCGGCGGCGCTAGTTCAAAGCCAGCCAAATCAAAGCTTGCTATCTTTTCTGATGCAGATGCTAAGCCAGCGCCTCTATCATCCAGGGGAGTGGAATCCAAGGGGTGGGAATCAGTTGGATCATTGTCTGATCGTAAGAAAGAAAACGCCTTGAAACCGATGCCATGGGTTGGTGAGACGTTGAAAGCTGGAGGAAAGAAGAGCGCTGCGCCAAAGATGGCAGTGTTCAGGGATCCGGTAAGTTTTCAAATCGAATACACCCTATCCAAGCCCGTATATTGATGAGCATAGGACTAATTTATTGGCCGTGGCATGTATTCGTTGAATTCAGTCGTTATCTAAAATAAACAACATCGGCATTGTATGGTTCAAAAGCCAAGTGACTGTCCACCCTCAAACAGGGAGGAAAGAGTACATATTCGTTGACCTTGCGGCTGTGTATCCAACTCCAGAAGAGCCCGGTTCGGAGCTGAGCTTCGAAGAAATCATCGCGGCGAACCGGGGCTGGTTAGGTCGGTCCTGGAATAATGAGGCGGTGGAGGAAGAGGAAGATCTTGTCCCGGAGCCGATACTACATCTGAATGAGATTGAGGAGATCAGTCGTGGTGTCAGCAAAAAGCTTGCTATCCATCGAGATCCAATGCAGTTTGATGAAAATGGGGAGATGAAAGAGCACCAAGAGCCTCGTGTTGCCAAGAAAAAGAAGATCATGGAAGTCAATGAGACTCAAATCAGTAAGTCATGAATTAAAGTTGGCTCATTTTCCTCGAAAGCGCTCACACTTCGTAGTCAAGGCAAAGTTGGACTCGCCGTCAGGGCCCAAATTCCGCAAGAAGATAACGTCTGAGCCTACAATGACGCTGCATACCAAGGCGGCGACTGACGACATATACGACATATTCAACGCTCCTCTTAAGCCTCTTCACGGAAATGAAAGTGCAGAGGATGATGATTATGAAACAGATGGCGAATATACCACTGACGGCGAAAGTACTGGCACAACTAGGCATCTCGATGCTACGAGTCAACCTGGCGATGAAGCGACCGCTGACGCAAAGAGTCTTGCCGAGTGGTCAAACTGTCCAGCTCAAAGACATATCGCAGTCGTTGGGGAAGAGGTTGCAGACGGTACTCTTCCAACACGCAGCGATGATGAGGGCCATAACGAGGAGCCAGAAGCCGGGGAGCAGACCTGTCCCACATGTCCGATTGAAGAGACAATAGATGGCTCTATAGATGAGCAGTCGCCTCCTGAAACCCGCACGGCGTTTATTCCCATTCCTCCAGAAGATTATGAACCCCCGACACGTCCGTATAGGGACCCGGCGGAGGTGGCGAATAATCGACTCCCATTCATGACGCCAATTACCGAACGGACAGAATGCTCAGTTGATGTTGACCTGGAGCGTCGCGATACATTCAAAACACCATGCAGACGAGACAGCGTTACCGAGGCCATGAGAGAAGATCAGTCTGACGACGAGCTCTTGAGCAGTCCTCTGAGAGAAATTGTCGACGGCGAGTGTCCCCCGCCAAGAATTCCTGATGCGTTGGTCCCGAAATCCAGATCTACTGTCAAACCGCCTGCCAACGCTATTCGCCAAAAAGGCCCCGTGATCAAGGATGTTCAGTGCAACCCCGTTGACATCTCTATCCGTGAAGAAATTTTAAGCAACCTTCAGCCTCCTCTGCGGTCGTACCCTGGGTTCCACGACCGAAGTGAGCAAAAGTACGAACGTGGTGCTGATATTCGCAAGTTTATCAAGGCCTTGAACAGACTGAGCAAGGGCGGCACTGACAAGACGGGACCTCTCCCAGCTCCAGTCACAATTGAGTTTCCGAGCACAGGCCGAGTGTACACCTTGAAACGGGAGCTTGGTGCAGGGGCATTTGCCCCCGTATATCTGGTCGAAAACTCGTGTCCGCAAGAGGATGAAAATGACGACAATGCAGTAGTCACTATGGGCAAAGGCATGTTCGCTGTTAGTCACCGCAATGAATTGGAGGCACTCAAGATGGAAGCACCGCCCACGCCCTGGGAATTCTACATTATGAGGCTTGCGCACTCTCGTTTAGGTCCACAGCACCGTGCAGCAGCTTCTCTGTCTTATGCGCATGAGCTACAGCTGTATCAGGACGAGGGATTCCTCTTTCTCCCGTACCACCCTCATGGAACACTTCTAGATGTCGTAAACATCTTCAGAACCGAGCCGTCTGGCGTGATGGATGAGCAGCTCGCCATGTTCTTTTCCATTGAACTTGTGCGCACTGTTGAGGCCCTTCATACCAAGAACATCCTGCATGGCGACCTCAAGGCCGACAACTGTCTACTTCGGCTGGATGCCACGTCTTCGGAGCAGCCTCTATCAATGCCATGGAAAGCGGACGGCAGTGGCGGATGGGCCTCGAGAGGCATCTTTCTCATCGACTTTGGCCGAGGCATTGATATGAAGGCGTTTGTGCCAAATGTGGAGTTCATCGCAGACTGGAAGACTTCATCACAGGACTGCGCGGAGATGCGTGAGGGACGCCCCTGGACATGGCAAATTGACTACCATGGTCTGGCGGGTATCATTCACTGTCTCCTCTTCGGGAAGTACATTGAAACACAGCGGTGTGATCAAGGTGGGCTTGGTCGTACAGGCAGAAAGTACAAGATCCGTGAAAGCCTTAAGCGATACTGGCAGGCAGATCTTTGGTCCGAGTGCTTTGAGGTGTTGCTCAACCCCGGGTCGTTTTTAGAATTCGAAGACGGGTGCAAAATGCCGGTGCTGAAGTCGTTAAAGAGCGTGCGGGAAAGAATGGAGCAGTGGCTTGAGGCAAACTGTGACCGTGGTGTTGGCTTGCGATCTCTAATTAGCAAGTTGGAAGGATACGCGAAATCTCGCAGGTAAAAAGAGGCACTGATGTGGTCTCGTCGCTGGTAGAGTATCAAATCCAGGCCTTACTCGGTCCGAGTCAGAAAGAGTTATCATTTTCCTGTGTATCATTGGGCGTATAGGGCGGACATTATTTGGCGTTTCTCTTGAGCGTTTGCAGTGGTCAACAGAAGTAGATGGATGAGTAATATCTGTTGAACGCGGATGGTCCATTTAATAGTACATTTGCATCCAAGTCTGGTACACAGAGAGGACGATCATGACCACACCGAGATGCTTATTCGATCCCCGAATCGTGCCAGCATGTCGTGACTTGTGGGCTTCATCGCCTGACTTGACCCGTAACAGTACACGCTGCAGTAGCGATGAATAGCTAGTCTGTAGAAGTTACGCTTAAATGTTCCATGCGGGAAGTTTTGGACTCATCTAGTCGCTCTCTTCGCCCGAATCTTGCCCCTTCTTCCGCGGTTTCACGAGGGACTTCACCCTTGAACCCTTCTTAGCATCCTTGACTGACTTTTTGTCAACCTGGTCTTGAATTCTGCTGCGCTCTGCTACACCTTTGACCTGAAGTTCTTGCTCCTTCTCCTTGAACTCATTGCTCTCTGGGTTCATTCCGATGAGGCTCTCTAGTAGCTTGATTTCATCGGCCCAGATTTGCTTGTCTTCGACTGTCTTTCCGTCGGGGCCTTTCTTATCGATGGGCGTCTCGAGGACCATGGGCATGCCACGAAAACCATCGAAGTTCATGATGCAATGAAAAGCGCGGAGGCCAAGAAAGCCCGTTCCAATATTTGCGTGCAGGTCTCGATTGGACTTGAAGGGGGCTTTGCTGTCATTCACTAGGACAGTATGTTAGCTCTGCACGGCGAGGAACGCATAGTGCTACCGACGGTGATTGAGCAAACAGGCCGTGCTTACGATGGAACGCCTTGAGGTATTCATACCCGACAGCCTCGTCGAATGCCTTCATAGTCTTTTCGAACGCCTCGGCGGTCCGTAAGTCGTGGCCAGCTGCGAATGCATGGCAGGTGTCTATGCAGACGCCCACCCGATCCTTTTGCTCTACCAGCGCGATGATGTCTCTCAAATCTTCCCACGTCGAGCCTATGACATTGCCCGCACCAGCCATGTTCTCCAGGACTGTAATCACTGATTTTGTCGCCTTGTGGGACCGGTTTAGTTGCGCGGCAATTCTGCCAATCGCCGCCGGTCGGGCTCCCCCTCCGGTTGAGCCAGGATGGAAGTTGTACAACTTGATCCCGAGTTGTTCACATCTTTCGAGGTCGTCGACGAAGCTCTTGTAGGCTTGTGCGGCCTTGGACTCGTCCGCTTGCGCCAGGTTGACGAGATACGACCCATGCGGCAGGGCATGCTCTGCGGCAGCGTAACCGTGCTCTTTGCAGTTGCCAATGAACAGGTCGCGGGCCTCGGTGGAGATTGGGGGGTTGTCCCATTTCCGTTGAGACTTGAGAAAGAGGGCGAATGAGTTGGCCCCAATCTGGACGGCGTTGGAGACGGCGTTTTGGACCCCTAGACGAAGAGATGGCGACATGGTGGTTAGTTCCCGACGGAGTATCTCTCACATTCTGCAGAAGGCGGCAGATGGGAAAGACTAAGTACGAATGGACTCGCGCCAGCTCTGCCTATAACTCACCTCCAGCGGCACTGACATGTGCGCCAATGTACATGGCCTTGGCTAGGGAAGATACGGTCGTCCTTTCAGCCAACTTCATTGTGCTGTCTTCAGCCGTTGCCTTCGCCTTTGCCTTCGCCTTAGGTCTCTTAGCTTGTGTTTTATTCTGCGTGCCCTCTTCCCCTTCAGTTGCGGAGTCTAACTTTCGCTTGCCGACGGTTTTCGTTACCAGTTCCCTGACGTCTGTCTTTAAGTTGTGGGTGGTTTTGGGAGCCGCCCCGTTAGTGTCGTTGTCGTAGCTTACCACTTGCCGCTTCCGAGTCGAAAGACGAGGCATCTCGTCAGTAAATAGCTTGGCATAGATTGAGTGGTTTGGTGCAGCCAATCCAGGTTCCCTGGCGAGATCCGGCCAGAGCAGACCAGCAGACTTCGTCGTTGCCCAGTCCTTGACGCGACGCAAACCTGAGACCGTCAACGCGCGGTCACGTGGGTGAAACTAGCTTCACCGTTTCGTTTGGCAGCCACTTCAGGTAACAGAATAAAACGCAAGGAGGAAAGAGAAAACACTCATCCAGTGCTCTCAATCTTTTACACTTTCCAGCAGTGTGTTTATTGCGCTAGTCATAGGTTCACGGGTCTAACTTGTGTGCACATATTCCGTATCAAGTTAACTACTACTAGTTAATAATAACAAGAATGGTTGGTGGGTTGAATCCTCCAAAGAGTACGCAGTGAGTGGTATTGACTTGGTTACATCGAAACACTATCAAGCACACAACAGATGACAACGTTGAAAGGCGTCATGGCTTTTGTGGCTCCTAAGACAGAATGCGCAATTCAGGGACGGAATTCAAGTTCGAAAATTCCTCCTTATAAGCGTCATAAAGCTGTTCGACCTCCTCCAGGTACAACTTGTGGTATTTATCGATAACTTCTTGAGACGGCTGCTCTTGAATTGTCTCATTGATCTCAATTGGCCGCCCCACCACGATATTGACGGCCCGTCGGTAAGGCATCAAACCAACGTCATAGTTGAGAAGTCCACGACCATGAAGAGCCGGGATCGTAAATTTGAAAACCTTCAAGAGCGTCATTTGCATCTTGTGGACCATGGGGTGCGTTTTTGGACTCAGTTGATCGTACAAATCATTCTCGCCAAAACCAATCACTGGCACAAGATCTGCTCCAGATCTAAGGGCCATCTTGACAAATCCTTTGCGCCCTTTGAGAATGAGGCGAAGTGTTCCGGGTTGAGCTTGTAGAGATTCACGAGCGCCGCCAATAACAATGGTGACTGCCCGCCCCTGCCCGTCGTTGAAAGCTCCTCCTTTCGACAAGGTATTTCGAATGGATTCTTTTGAAACAGATCGAATTCCCATGGCCAAAATCCAGTCGCGGTAGAAAGGAAGGTGAAAATTGGAATCCAGTGTTAACAAGCTGTTGGTAATACCAGGGAATTTCTCCGAGAAACCCAATGCGTTGGTAGCAAAGGCACACCAGGCACCATGGGAAATGATGCCATGCGGATGATAACCAAAAATGTACCTTCTGTTGGGAGGCAAGTCAAAGGTCTTATGAAGCTCGGCTGGAAAGTATCCCGCAAACAACCTCCAAAGCGGCAACGATCGAAGCCATTCTGATCTGTAAGAAAGTCTCCCATCTACCGCTGCATTGGAGAACGACAGATGAACAAGATAGGGAACGAGGATGGGCCAGGTCAAAGGGTTCGCGCAGCTAAACCAGAAACAGGACACTAGCACAACAATCGACATGGAATGGAACAGCACTGCTGCGGTCTGCATTCGACGTTTGAATGGCACACGAAGGGGGGCGAATCGGATGCCCCCGGCTCTCCAAGCTTCTCTGGCGTGCGCGTCGCGCAATCTGCCACTGTTGAGGGTAGGATAAGGCATGTAACTTCCGTTGGTGACCTTTTTTCGCTCTTCGGGCTTGTCGGTTTTTAGAGCTGCCGCGTATGACTTGTCATTGTCCTGCGCCACAACGTTGAAGTCTGATGCTTCAAGCTGGTCTATCAGTCTATCACCACGTAACGGGTCCTGTCCGACCTCACAATGTCGGATTAGCTTGAATATTAGACAATGCTCAGATTAGGCAGAAAGTATGTTATATATTCCTCACCGTCGGAACTGTCATGTCCGAATCTTTAAAATCAAGGAGTGAAGAGTCCGGTTTATTCTCTGGACTTGGCACCACGACAACCTTTTCGTTCGTTTCATGGTCAACTGCCGCAAAGTTATGTCAGTAAAAAAAAAAAAAGGAAGAAGAAGAAGAAGTAGTTCGTCTGGCTACCCAGCTTCTGTCGCATTCAGGCGACTCCCAGGCTATTCAAACGTCAGGAGCAAGCTCCCCGTTTTGAAAGCGGCAGTTGGACGGGACTACTCGGCACGACGATGTAAAGACGACTTACTCCCAGGCAGAAGGGCACCTTGCAGGCCATCCACGGTGGACATTGCTTTCCCACCCTGCCTAACTGAATTCCAACACAGTCCACCGGTACTCGTCTTGGTAGGGAGGAGAATCTTGCTGGCCCGCCAAAGTTGCTATGTGTGTGAAATGACGCCTCTGGCCACGGCGGAATGATGCAGGAAGGCGGCACAACGGACGAATGCGCACCTGCTTCGAAAGAGGTTCACAATCAAATGATCGGAGAATCTCCACCGGCGGGCTACTTTGGACTTGGTGGACGGCTGAGAGAAGTGTGCCTCGCAGCTGCGGGCACGGATAGACGTCAACGCTTCTTCTTGCTCTCCTCGCAGGCTTACGTGCCATTATGCGTTTTGACCCAATGACGTACGAGACACGATTATGGAGTACTGGACCCGGCACGTACTTGAGTACCCGGCAACGCCTGGGGGGTTTGCTGTTAAGGTACCCGCTACGCCTGGTACCCAGATACGCGTGGCCCACTATAACTGCTACCTGCGCATGTTCGCGGGGGCCCGTCAAACACTACTACGTACTATGTACTTAAGTAGTGAGGAAGGGGGCTGTGTACTCCTCAAATGCTCAAATGTGATATTAGCACAGCCACGGAAGCGTTCACTCATTTGGTCGGCACGGAAATGGAGTAGATTCCACTGCGTCACGGATAAGCCCAAGTGCATATGTGAGAAACGCCCGTGTTATAAAAGTACACAGTGTACAATTTCCAGACCAGTTCATCTCTCAAACCCATAATGTAACATCCGATAGCCGCCCCTTTAGTCACAATGGTTCGTCATCCCATACCCGTCCCAGAATCCGAGAAAATCCAAACGCCGACTCATGAGCAATTCTAAAGGGGTGCCTCTCTTACAGGACCCAACTTGCTCAGCCTTTCCATCAGTCCACTCCAGCTAACGGATCATATAGAGGTCAAATAGGGAAGTAGATAAGGTCAAGTGGCTGAACCTCACGTCGTCGAAGCACCTTCCCGAGTGTCAAAATGCTTCTTCAGGCCAGCCACCTCCTGGTCTAGTGACACAACTTTATCCGACAGAGACTTGATCTTGTCCTCTAGCAGACGTATATATTCCCAAACGCTGGGGTCGCTTTGAGCAAACATATTGCCACTATCTCCAGAAGGCTGGGGTCCGCTTGACGTGCGGTCGTGAGAGTATGTGCCAGAATTCGGTGCCACAAATCCTGTGTGTGACAGACCTGGTAGTTTTGGTCTTGGCTGGCTGCTGCTGTGTGGTGATTGCAGGTCCGATGAGGCCCTGCCAACCTGCTGCTGTTGGTATTGCTGAGACATACTCGGTGATCGTTGTCTCGCCAGGTTGGCGGAATCGTGACTTGGAAGACCGGGGCTTAGGGGCTTCGGGCTCTCCGTCATGCCTGCCTGCGAGTACATTCCCGAGCCTCCGGTACCGCCGGGGATAGAGGAAACGCTGGTGTTTGCTGTGTGGCTGCTCGCCATGCTGTCAGGAACACTGGATGAGCCAACCGTGCCAACCGTGCCAACCTGGCTGGGATTCACATTCGGCGGATATAGGCCGCTCGCTGCCGCCCGCGAAACTGCGGGGGGGTATGTGCGAGAGTGCGCGTCGTAATGGTCGCCAGAAGACTGTTGTACACCCATGCTTGGAAGACTTTGACGTCTGAACTCTTCATCTTCTACGCCATCGTAGGCCACGCCTGACATAGTTGAGTCATCTCCTTCGCCCATGGTCCCATCCAAATCGTCGCCGTCAGCAAAGCTGCCCATGCTAGCTCGTCGACCAGCACAACCTCCTGCTCCTTTGCTATGTCGCGCTAGAGCATCTCCACGCGCAAATTTTCGGTCACACTTTGGGCAAATATGTGGCTTCTCTCCCGTATGGAGCTTTCCATGTCGTTTTAGATCATGAAGCCGGCGGAATCGCATCTGACACTCCGTACAGACGAATGGCTTCTCTTGACTATGTGTCAAAAGATGACTCTTGAGATTGTGATGACGTGTAAACTCGGTGCTGCAATACGGACACTTGTGTTTTTTGCCACCACCAGATGATGTGGGTGAACTCTGAATCTGACCTGGCATTGAGAAGCTCATGCCTCTGCTCGATTGTTCAGAGAGATTTGCCGCAGCTTGCAAAGATCCAGGGTACGACAATGAGCCAGATTGAGCTCTCTCTTCTGATGACATAAGCTGTTGAGCTTGTACTTGGTCATTCTTCTTGGAATCCAACTCCATCGCGACAGGGCTCTCTGCAACCGGGGCAGGCGGTACCATGTGTTTGTTTGTAGTCGCACTTGTAGGGGGGCTGCCTTCTTCACGATCATTGTCGCCTATACGGACAGCATTCCCGGCTGTCATAGAGAGCTCAGTCGCCGGTTTCGTCACAGGCTCCATATTCGCGGTCGGAGCAAACTGAATAGCGTCGGAAGGACGGCTCATCGCTTGGGCGACACCAGACATTAGGAATTCAAGAGATGAACCAGTCGGGTTAGGGCTAATGGAAGAAGGATTGTCAGCCTGCTCCTCGACCCTTCGTCGACGCTCGTCTTCTAGAGCCGCGGCACCTGTGAGAGGCACGGCGGGTCGGGTCGTCTTCGCAAAAGACAGTCGGGCGACCTTGGAGGGGGAGCCGGATGGATTGGGAAGCCGCGCGGCACCAGATCGCGGTGACACGGACTCGGAATCGCGTTGTCGTTTAATTAGTCTCACGATGTCGTCGGATGGGGCGCTGGTTGAAGAAATCGAATTCTGTTGACAGAGAGGCGGGGCTTCTGCTGCAAGACTGGCCACATTTGATGCCATAGAAGTCCGAAATTGTCGTATGTAACGAATTGAAGGAATAGATTCGACGATGCCAGATGATGCTTACAGATGAAATTCTGCGTATTTAAGATAATCGAAGCATGTTGAGGCTGCCGTTGTCGAGGTGTGGCTGGAGAACGTGGCGAGAGCTGGAGCCTCTTTTTTGTTTTTTTTTTTTTGTCTTCTTAGTCTTGAGTTTTCTTTCGTCCTGTTTTGGACGTCCGTGAACGACAAGCGATGGCAAACCGGCTAAGTGTAGGGATTGCGACCTAATGGGATTTAATGTCAGGAGATGGTGGTTTCGAAGAAATTCCCGGGTCATTTACTGGCTGATGGAAAATGTCGCGTGGAGTGATGGTTAAGATGAGTTGATGGCGATGAGAGCGAGAGTCCACCAGAGATGTTTTGGTCGTCTTGGTTCATGCCTACTCCGTACACCTCCTGGGGCTTCTGTGGCCGGGGCGCAGTACTCCGTAAAGGCCCAGTGCCTGGCAAAACCCAGTGTGCTACGGAGTAGGAGGTGAGCGCCAGAGCCGGGTCAAGCAGGGCCAGGGTGGCCGGCGCAGGCAGTTACTTAAGTTAGTTGCAAGGCGCCAGTGTTGCATGTGGCGTGTGCCTCCACGGCTCCACGGCCAGGTGCCAGTAGCCAGCTAACAATTGACAAGGCTTTTCTTCATATTGGACAGGCAGCTGGCAGCTGGCAGCTAAGATCAATTGGCATCTACCTGGAAGCTACCTATCTAGGTATCTAAGAAGGCATTAACATTAGCGGACAGTGTAAAAAGAAAAAAGACGAGGCCGAGGGTTGAGTGCGCAATGTGGGGACGACGAACAGCCACACGTCAAGGAGGTCAGCCAGCTCTAGCTCTATGACCATCGTACTTGGGCAAACTAAAAGGGCTGCCAGGCTACTTCCCAGCCACTTTGGTCCGCCACTACCAGTTGAACCTTGTCAGTACGAAGACAATTCCAATCGTTCCATTCTGCTTACTTGATCTCATCCCTACCTAGTTCAATCGTTCAATCGCATCTCTCTATGATTCTATGATGAACCCCAAACGGCAACCCATTGAATTAGTGATGACTTTGCGGAATACTCTGTATGTCTTCTTTAAATTATTTAACGTTACTGGTTGCATGTAGAGGGAGCATCTATATATGTACATGTAGTGATCAACAGCATGGGTTCCTGAGTCAGCGCAGAGCTATGCTTACCGCCTGCTGTTCCTGGACCTACTATTATTCCCTAAGGCCTGAGATAACCTAGGTACCTCTAAGTACCTTCGCGCGCGGCCCCTGTTAATAGTGACAGTTACTGTGACTGTGTTAATCCCTAAACATAGTTGCTAAGATTGCAGAGTCTTATAATAGCTAATTAAATAGAAAGTATATTTGTTCGTAACTCTAGGGGTGATTTTAAGACTACTAAATGTATTAAGCTTGTTGCAGTAGCAATACTTATAGGGGCAGCAGTCTTAGTGTTTGTTGCACTATAATATTATTAGTTAACTAATTCTAATTGCTTTCTGTTATAATATAACTAGAATAAGGTAGCTAGATAATAATAACTATATATTGCAGCTATAATAGAGCGACTATTCTATTGTAAATTAATTATATTATAGTAGTATGTAAGTCTATTATATATAATACACTTTTTTAATTTACAATTTAAGTAGTAATATAACTGCTCTAGACTATTATAATAGTTCTACGCTTATTAAAGCTATATACTTTATAGTAGCACTAGATATAGTAATAGTTATAAATATATATAAGTTTAATATAAAGAAATAAACTTTCTATTATAAAATTTATTACTATAAATATATTCTTATTGCTTTCTAAACTCTTATACTATTATAAGTCTTATCTGCTGTCTATAGAATAATATTGCTACTATAATACTAATAATAGAAATATTTAAACTATTTGCGCCTAGACTTAATTATTAATAAATAATAATATTATATTAAATACTCTAGATAGCTATAAAGCTATATAACTAGTACATCTTCTTCTTATATTAGGCCTAGAAAACTCTTTAGTAGGAAGAAAAACTCTGCCTACTTCTGTTTTCGCTCTCTAGAGCAGCTCTAGCTCTATGCTAGCTAGAATCTGCCTGTCTTCTGCGCGTGCATAAATATTGCTAGCTTTACTAGCTGTATTCTAGAGGGGCTAATAACCCCTAAAAACTAAGCCTGCCTCTAGCTTTATGCTAGAGCTATACTACTTCTGTCTATTCTCCTGCTGTATTCTCTAGCCTTTAATTGTCCTCTCCGCCTGCTTAATTCTCTATTCTACTTATTAGTCTCTAATTATCCCTGCTTCTTAGAGATATAAACTATCTTAGTGTAGTATAACGTTTGTTGCTCTCTTAGAGGTAGGCTAGCCTAGTTCTATACTATTATATAGCTGCTAGTGTAAATATCTAGTGTTTAGCTGCAATAGCTTGTATATTTAGATTTACCTTATATTTATCTTATATATAAATTACCTCTTAGCCTTATAGCTAGCTATAGCTAGTGCAGCTGCTACACTAAATCTAGGCTTTTATTAAATATAAAGCTAGCTAGACTCTCTCTAACTTTCTTCTCTTTTTTCTTTCTCTTTTAACCTCTTGCTCTTAATATATACTAAATCTTGCTAATATACTAGCCTTACCTACTATCTAGCTAAGCCTAAGCTAGTCTCTATATAGATCCTAGCTAACTTCTTGCTAGAACTATTTTTATTGCCTCTACTGCTGCTGCTATTGCCTTTAAATATAGTTAGAACTTATTATTTATATATATATACTTTATATCTACTTTATGTTAAGCCTAACTCTAGAAAATTACTAATTATTATTAGTAGCTATTATTATATCTACTTTCTAATTTAATAATATAGAGAAAGTTATAGTAAGTCTAAGCTAGCGCTAGCTTATTCTCTGCCTAGAGGCTAACTACTATAAAGACCTCTAGTGCCTTTAAGGGCAAAATAATAACTAAGTCCTAGTCCTAAAAAGTTGCTAGTAAGTCTATATATATCTCTATTTCTACTTTTATTCTAGCTCTAACTCTATATATAGCTTAGTTCTGCCTATAAAGTTATATATATTTTATATATTGCTTAGATCTTAGCTACTACTACTACTACTAGCTTAGAGCTAAATAAGCTCTAAGCTTATTTATACTAAAAAATTATTAAGTTAAAGATAGTATTATACTTTAACTATTATATCTATAATAATTATTATATTTCTATAAGTAGTCTTAATATTAAACCTTCTCTAGCTTTAATTTAGCTATAGTATAATATAATATTTAAGACTTATTTTATTTTTCCCTGCCTCTAGAAGAAGCTAAAGGTAGTTACTAAGATAATACTATTTTATATTATAGTAAGTAGTCTGCTTTATCTCTAGCTTAATATTGCTAACTAGTTGTCTTAATTTACTTCTTAATTTTTTAAGAATCTTAAGGCCTTAGAGAAGGCTAATAATTAGAAGGGGAAGAGTTAGGCTTAAGCTAGCTTAGCACTAGCTAGAGGTTTTAATAATAGTATAGACTATTATAAGAAGATTCTAAAGCAGCTAAAAGAGATTACTATATTAGTAGCTACTATAGCTAAGTCTAAAGTAGAGGCTGTCTAGATTCTAAAATAATATAAAAGCTATTTATTAGTTATAAAGGTTATACTTTAAACTATAAGTACCTATACTATTATAATAAAGTAGGAGAGCCTTACAGCTAGACTTAGCGTAAAGAGGCGCTAAAGAGGTTGCAACTCTTCTTAAGATAAAGAAGGGAAAATTTAAGGAGGGAAAAGTAGATAGATAAATAAAGAGCAGCTTAAGATTAAGCTGCCTCTAGTAGTATTACTAGCTGTAATACTATAGGCTTAGTATTTCTTATTTTTTGTTTTTTCTATAGTAATAAACTTAATAACTTTTAGCTTCTTTATTATTATGCCTATAAGCT